TGCTTGTGATCATATTTAATAGCATCACCACTTGGGGCTTCCTAAGCACTCCCAAGCAGCCCACAAATGTCCCACGCCAGCACACTTCAGGAGCAGCACTCCTTTCCCCAGCAAAGTCAATTCTTGGCTATAAGGGAGGGGGTTGGGGTGGCCGTGGGGCAGCCCCACGTGTGGCTGAACACAAGCTGGGGGTATCAGGGCAGGGTGGGGAAACTGCTCTCCACAAAAGGGAGGAGATGGGAGCAGACACCAGAGTGCTGATGTGCATCTCTATTGGAAAATCTGCCCCTGCAGAGCTCAATTGATTTTTTTAAATTAATCTATTTACAGCAGTTTGAGTTGAGCTAGCTTTAGGTGCTGTTTAAGCTGCTTTCCCAGTGCCTCACGTTCAGCATTTGCATGGTGGGATTAAGACAGATGGGGAACTGAAAAAGCGAGAGGAGTGCCTCTGGGTGCTGCTGGCTCATGGCTGCATGTCCAGCATAGGGCTGAGCCTTGGCAGGGCCATGCCTCCCCCTCCTGATACTTAAAGTGTCATCACACATCCATGGGGGAGCAGCAAGGAGCCCCACAGCTTTGGGGTGCAGCATGAGGGGATCCTGCAGGAATCCAGCAGCCTCCCCCAGAGGTCCTTCATGCTCTGGAAAAAGCATAGTGGGGAGCATTTCTCCTCTCTGTCATTAACCTGACATAATGTCTCTCCTGCTGGCAGCTTTCAAGCTCAGCAGGTTTGTTATAAAATTCATTACCAGATATTGCAATCACAGTCACCTTTATTGGGCTCTGCATTTACAATAATTAGGCCAATAAACACTGATTTATAAAAATGACAAACAGGAACTCCCAGTAAGCAAGAAAAATGTGCTTTCTTCAGGGAGGACAAAAGCACATACACAGAACCTGATCCCTGCAGCTTCTCCTGGGAATCCCCATGCAGTAGCCAAGGGGCACAGACCCAAACCCCAGTGTTCAGCTTCACACGGCTTGCAGCCAGTCCACCTCATCCACAGACATCAGAGCCTCCTCCATTTCCAATCTTTTCTCCGCTTTCCTCTCAGTCACCTCTCACCAACCTTTGGATCTTGCTGTCCCACGTACCCAAACCTCCCTACCCGTGATAACAACCCACTGACCCAAGCAGTGCCCCCACAGCCCCCACCCCGCTCCCTATATACTCTCAGCAGGGGCAGCTGAACCACGTTGGCTCCAGTGACACCAGCTGTGCTGGTGAGAGCAGCTGGTGCTGGAAGCAGCCAGAGCTGCATGGGCGTGCTACAGGAAAGGAGCAGGCTGGTTGTTCCATCCAGCTCAGCTGTCCAGGGCCCCATCCAGCCTGGCCTTGAGCACCTGCAGGGCTGGAGCACCCACACTTGCTGGACATCCTACACTACTGCCTCACTGCCCTCTCAGTAAAGAATTTCTTCCTGACTGAGAGATGCCCACATCACAACAGGCAGCCAGCGTTATCATCTTGTGCATGCATATGGCAGCAGCTCCACAACATTGCCTTAGATCTTAACAAACCTTTCAGCCTTAAAATATCTTTAATAAAATGGCTTTCTGTGCGACACCAACACGCATGTAGCTTTCAATTACATGTTAGCACTCCTGGTGGGAAGTTGCTCCTTACTGGGAGAAGTGACTTACAATGGCTGGGGATTACAATGTTGGTCTTTGCATCCCAGATGCTCAGAGCCTGGTGAAGAATGCCACTCGCATTTGTCCTGTAGGCATGGTGAGCCTCATGCATGAGGAACTGTTTCTGAAGAAGTGTTGAACATCTAGTAGAACAGAGACATGACATAGTCATAGAACCGTAGAATGGCTTGGGTTGGAAGGGACCTTGAAGATCACTGAGCTCCAACCCCCTGCTGTGGGCAGGGTTGCCACGCATTAGATTAGGCTGCCCAGAGCCCCATCCACGCAGTTATTTATCAAGATTAAACCAGCGTTTGGATGAAGTTCTTCCATTCTGTTAATAACTTCTGTTGATGAGAGAGCCGGCGTGGTGCCGAGACACGGGGTTTTCACGGGGTGAGCAAAGAGTAGCACGTGCTGCTGGCAATCACTGAGCAGCTCCTTTGGAATGACCGCCATAAGCTCATCTGACCCATCCCTCAGTGAGGGCTGTCAGCCCCCAGCATCCGCTGTAGCAGAGAGCAACACGCATGAAGCCCAAATCCCCGGGTGGTTTTGTCACGATGATTAAGTTCCTTAACTTGAATCAAGTGTGTCTCCAGAGTTTTCTACCACGCTGTGAACTTAAGATAAACAATAAATGATGAATAGGCCAATTATCGAAACCTCTCTCCAACAGGGCCCTGTGTGGCAGGTTGATAAGAGGAGATATGCGGCCTCTCATCTGCTGAAAGTTGCAGAGAATGGGTTCGTTTGAAGCAGAAAGGGCTTGGAGCAATCAGCCCCGTGGCTAACGAGCTGTGTTAGTGGCACATGAGAGCCAGCACTACCCAGTGCAAGATGGGGGAGACCCCCGGCAGCCCCCAGGTGGTGGTGGCTGGGGGGCACGGGGTTCCTGAGGCTGCATCCCATGGTGAGCACCATGAACATCCCTGTCCCGTGGGGAACGCTGTGATTTACGTACTGCCTGTGGAATTGCCCAATTAATTCACTATCCACATTAATATTATGGCTCATTTTTAACTTTACTGTCTCCATCGTTCCAGTTTAGTGCTGCTCCGAGATGCTGCCACTGACCTTAATGGGTTTTTCATTAGAACAAAGAGCACCCCATTAATCACGGTTCGTTTTTGGATGGAGGCTGCTGGCCGAGCTGCTCTGCTCTGGGGAGCTGCTCTCAGCAGTTCAGGGCCGCTTTTATTCCTGCTTCTCACACTTCTGTGCTGGCTGGGAGGAATTTCTTGGTATGGCATTTCCAGAAACAGGGATTTCATGCAGCACTCAAGCTGCACAGCAGTGTGAGAGATTGTTTGCTGGGCAAACCGAAGCAAGAAGTGCAGAAAGGAGAGGAGGCAATGAGCCTCTTATTGTCCCGTACAGAAATCAAATGCCTTTTAATCATTCCAAATGTTCTTCTGGGTATCAATTAGCCACACATTAATATCAGCATTGCTTCTATTCCTCAGTTTGCATCAGATTAAATTCTCCCCCGTCATACAGACTGGCACTCATTAGCTTCGAAGAAAATTAGCAGTTGTTCCCTCTTCATTGGCGCCGATGGGAGATTTACATCAGAGCTGCTCTCTTATAGAAACCCTAATTGTCATCTTACAGCCATTGAATATTTCTCCCCAAAAAGACGTTTTGCTGCCACCAAACCTGGAATGTGGGGCTGGGCAGCACTACAGCTCCCTATGGAGAGTGGAGTTGTGCGGGATCCCCATCCCTCTGCCTGCTCCTCATGCGCGATGATATTTATTGAGTTTTATTAACTTCCAGCCCTGGGAGGTTCTCACTTCTTCAAGTTAATTCAGCCATCTGACTCCTGCCGGAGTTGTGCTGATTGTCATTAAAAAACTTGACATTTACCTTACAACAGTAATAAAATAATAATGCCTAATTTGGTTTATGAGTGGTATTTGCAGTGTTTCCTGCGCCTGGAGTGGGGGATATTGTGAAGATGGCTGCGATGCGGATCAATTATGTCTGGTTAACGGCGCTGCTGTAATTCTTTCCTGTAATCATAACTGCCTTTCAGTAGAGCAGCTCCAAAGTTTTTCTGTGAAGCAGTAATTTTGACAGGGAAGGAAAAAAACAAAAAATGTTTTCAGTCCAAAGCAGTTCCTTCAGTTTTCAGAACAAAAGCTTCAGAGGCGAAACTTCCCTGTGAAAGGCAACGTGTGGAAGTAGAGCTGCGGTGGCTGCACATATTTGCTGCACTCAGGTTTCCAAAATATTTCAGATGTTTTCAAAGGCTGACTGCAATTGCTGCCCATTAAAAAAACTGATTTTCCCCCCCGAATAACGTGCTGTCTCCCACTTGTCAGTACCAGCCTCTCATATTAGACACCCGCGTACAGGGCTGGCAGCAGCTGAAGAGCCAGCACCAGTCCTGGCATCACCAGTGCTGCCATTTCTTCCTCTGCTTCTCACCAGAGAAAAAGCAAATGTGGGTTTTTGACGTGGGTTTTCTTCCTTTCAATACAGTTTTAATTAGTGCATCTCGCACTTGGGGTTTTTATTAGGATAGACAGCTTGGGAAAAGGGAGCGTGCCAGCTCCTCCGCACCAGGGAGCCACTGTCCTGCTCAGAGCACAGACTTTGCACCGCAGTCCTGAAAGCCCTCCTCAAAACGGGATCATTTCCATGAAGAGATGGGATGATTTCCACAAATGGAAATTGTTTTTAAGTACAAAAAAACATTTAGTCAGGAAATTCCAGGCTGGGCTGAACTGCGGGGCGATGCAGGAGCCGCACAAAGCGAGCGTGGGGTGCCAGGGCCCTCCATGGGGAGAGCTCAGATTCCTGTGGTGCTGGCAGGATGTGCACGCATCTGCATGCACACACACATCTGTGCACACACATGCAAATGCACACACATGGCTGTGTGCGCAGATACTTGCACACACATGGATGCGTGCCCATGGGAACACCTGCACTGCTGCCGTGCCCATATCCACATCCCCACTGCCCCAGGAGCCTGGGGGGCCCTGGCACAGCCTGGGCACATCCAGGGATGGTGCAGGGGGAGAAGCAGAGGGCAGGGGCAGTGCTTGAAGGACAAGCCTCGGAGCCCTAGCTGGGACCTCATAAGAGGCCCAATGGGCAGCGCACAGTGGAGCCGAGCGTGGGCTCCTCTCCAAACTCATGGGAATCAGCCACAGCCTGCGAGCTGCCGACGTCCCCTCTCGCCCACCCGTGTTCCTGTCCCAACCCTGGGGCAGGCGGGTTGCGGGGAACGCTGGCTGCAGCCGTCATCGGAGCCGCAGGAAGCCAGCCTTACTGCATGTGCAGCCCAGAGCCTGCGTAACTCCACCTCGAGCGCTCGTCCTCGCACACAGGGAGCAGCCAGCACCGAGACCATGGGAGGGACGTCGCAGCACGGCCCCGAGGACTGCCGCTTTCTGGATGTGAGTTTGCGGTGTGCATCCAGCGTCCTCGTGTCCTCGTCCCTCCGGGAGCGATGGCAGAACTCTGGATATTGTCCTTTTGTGCTTATCTAGGCAGAAGCATCCAAGACCCGAAAGAAGACCTGCACCAGGTACAAGGTCTGCGGGCTGCTCTTCAGTGTGCTGCTCATTGCTCTCATCCTCGTACTCTTTGGTGTCAAACACCTGTGGAACCCAGCATCCAGACAAGTAAGTGCAGCCCTCGGGGCAGCGTTTCGGAGCGCTGCGCTCCCCCACCTCCTTGCTTAAATTGAACTGTGCCCTGAAATCCAGGCAAGTTTGCTAAATGTATCTGCTTACACCACAAGGATTTGTGGGGACTTTTACAAAGCCTTGTATTATTCATAACTAGCTTTTACTCTATACAGGCTGGTTTTTTTCTCTGTCACCACATTCCTCTCCTAACTGACAATTAAAGGGTACGGAGCTGCACCACAAAGAGTTAAAGTTACTCTCTTTCACGGGCAGCAAATTTCATGACAAGTAAGAAAATATTTTCCATTTCATTTCAATTATCTTGCCAGAAACCGGTGGAAAAGTCATTATGCCACTGCATAAAGAGGAGAGAAAGCCAGGACGCAGTGGTGATTGATTGTCATGGATTGTATTTCTTACTTTAATGTGTCTGCAATGTGAGGGGATGGTGAGACGGATTAGCTTTTGGAGAGGGAGCTCCTGCTAACTGGATTGAGCTCCTCCATTCCCTGCTCCCTCTGTGTGCAGTGCTCAACTGGGAGGCCCTGGGTGCGGCGTGCTGGGGTTTGATTCCCTACTCCTGACAGCCCCAAAATTCCTGTGCACATCCCCTTTCCTACAGTGAGCTCCCCTCGCTCCTCACCAACCCGCGGACCCTCAGGCGCCAGAAGCTTTGTCTTCTTATCAGCACATAGAAATAAATACTGCAAATAGAAGCAATAAAAGCCATATGTGCAGCCGGGCTCTTGCCAAGACGTTTATAAAGTCTCCACTGTTCCTCGAGAAGCACGGTGTGAGCCAGCGGGGTGGTGCTGACCCTGGGATGGGCTCTGACTCAGTTCGGACATCAAGGGAATGGCAAGAGGTCAGGTACAGGAAAATCCCAGCGTTGGCCAAAGGCAGCGTGGCTAAAACAAGTGGAGATGGGGCTGCTGGTATTTAGTAACCAAGGAGAGAGACCACCCAGAGCTCACACGTGAGCATTCACCCTTTTAAAGTCATTTTAAGTCGTTTATGTAGATGCAAATGACTTAAAAATGATAAAGAAAAATGACACTGGTGCTTCGCCTGTGCTATCTTGGCAAGGAAGGAGATGTAGGGGAAAGTCCTGCTCCCAGCACCAAAATGCCATCCCTGGGCTCTTGCAGCTGCACCAACAGTGTGGGAGAACCTGGAGATATCAGCACTGAAAGCCCTTCTGGTGCCCACAGCATGGCAGCATCGCCCCAGCACCGCCAGCACAAGCAGGAGCCATCAGCAAGGGGCTCACCACGGACATGCAAGGAGATGTTTTTCAAGGGCTGGCAAGCAAGAATTATTTTTAGCCCTATAAAACATCTCTCTGAGCAGCACAGGGCAAGCCAAGCCCAAATGGGTTATTTGGCCACAGTGCTGGCATGAATAAGTCTTTGTAAATGGAGAGGAACTTGAGAGTAAGGTACCACTGAGGATTGTACCCTCCTGTAGCTGATTTATGGCCCTGTGCACACGCTGTCAGTCAGAGCAGGCAGCCTTCCAGCCACCTTAGGCTCTGCACTGCTTTTTCCATATCATAAAGTCTATTGACATATATATATATCTTTATAAAAGCCTCCTGCTGACTAACAGGAGATGCAGGCGACTGCCAAGGAGCACATCATTCTTCACATTTTTACCAGGGGCAAAGGTACCCGGTAGTTACTGCACTGCTCAGCCAGCTTCAGCACCACAACATCCTCCTGAAGTTGCAAAATGGGGGATGCTGACCCGGAAAACCCTGAGAAGGATTTTGCACAAGCCCTTTGCTTCTGCACGTTGCTATTTGATTGGGGAAAAGAGACTCTGCTCAGCTCTCACTGTGCCAGCAGGATCACTTCTGCGCTTCAAACAGCATCTGCCACTACTCATCCTTTAAGGGCCTGGCGTCCGCAGAGCCGGGAGGGCTGCCAGGCTCACTGTGCAGGGAAGAGAGGGCTGCTCCCCCGGCTCCCTGCAGGGATGAACACACCAGGGAGCAGGCTGTGACACCCCGCAGCTCCTCAGCAGCTCTTCAGCAGCCCTCAAGGAGGGCTTTGATCTTCAGGCGATCCCCAACCTCCTCAAGGCAGGAGGAGGCACTTCTCAGGGAAAGCAGAAGGCACAGAGATGAAGCCAGAGAGCTGGGGACGGGGGATGGCAAAGTCCCTTAGTCAGGGCTTCAGTCCAGCCTGGAACATAAATATAGGATGTTAGGAAAAAATTCTTCTCAGAAAGAGTGGTGAGGTATTGGAACAGGCTGCCCAGGGAGGTGGTCACCGTCCTTGGAGGTGTTCCAGAACCATGGATATGTGGCACTGAGTGATGTGGTTTAGTGGGCATGGTGGTGATGGATTGATGGCTGGACTGCATGATCTTAGTGGTCTTTTCCAACCTTAATGATTCTATCATAAATGGGTGTGGGATAAGCATCTTCTAGCCCATGTTCACCTGCTGCTATTCAGGTTCTCCATTATCCCATAGCCAAGCACGTGCCTTCATCCTGCCCTTTTTCCCTGGGAGCTGCCTCTCCTTGCAGGGGTACAAGAAAGACTAGAAAGGCAGTGGGGGCTCAGCCAGTGTGGTTTTGTCCCTTTCAGGTCTATGACATGGAGCACACCTTCTTCAGCCACGGCGAGAAGAAGAAAATTGTGATGGAGATCGACCCGCTGACCAGGACAGAGACCTTCAGGAGTGGGAATGGCAGTGAGGAGATCCTGGAGATCCATGACTTCAAGAACGTGAGTGAGCAGGGTTTTTGGGGAAGCTCTGCCCAGACCCCATCTCCTTGCTGGGAGCTGTGGGGATGCGCTGTGGGAGTGCCCTGGCACCCCAATGGAATGGGACCCAGCGGGTGCTTAAAATGCAACATGTGCTTCCCAGTCCAGCTGCAGTCGGAACAAGAGGATCCCTTAGGATGCTGTGGTGTTGCCGGAGCACGCTCCAGGATGGTTTTGTTCTGCATCAGAGAGAGCAATCCCCATGTGCAGACCACCTGGGCATACTCTCAAAGGAGAGGAGATGTGTGCCTACGTAAGCTTTAATAGTGGCAAGATTCAGTTCCAGAAAAATACATTTTAAAAGCAAGACCTAGTTATTGGATTTACCCCTGCAAAGGAATGCAATCATCATAAATCTACCCAAACCCAGTACATTTGTCTGTCTGGAGAGCATTAAAACCTTGTGACAATGTTGTAGGCTCTCTCTGAAACCTAATTAAAATTTGTAGGGAAATACCTTGTGCAGTGACATATGGCAAAATTTTCAGCTAATAGCCTAGCAGGAACTGAGGGCTGAATGTTCATATAACCATAACGGTCAAATACTCTTCTGCATATTTTTATTTATGGTAACTGGAGCTCGTGATAGTTACAAGGAGAAGGGGAGCAAAGTGGAATTTTATGACTACCTGCCTTAAAATATTTGTAAAAAGCCCAATTCTCCCAAACCATAAAATGCAACATCCCTTAGGAGAACCTGTTAGTACATCTTAGCACTGCTGCTGAGCAGAGTTTGCACAAAAAACATCAACAGGAAAAATATGACTAAGCTCTGATCCAGCTGTACTCCCCGTAGGATGCTGTTATTTATCCTTCTGCTATGCCGTGACTGCTTTCTTGCTCTTTGTTTTGATGCTGTAGGGAATAACCGGCATCTTCTTTGTGGGACTTCAAAAGTGCTTCATCAAAACTCAGACCAAAGTCATACCGGAGACTACGGAGGCCAAGATCCCTGAGCTGGAGGTACGTGGGCAAAGCAGCACCCGAATCTGCGGGGCACCCAGTGCTCCCACCGCTCCAGGCTGCGATAGAGAAATAAGGAGTTGTGATCGCTTCATGAAATGATCTTATTGCAGAGGATTGCTTCTGAAAACAACAAGTCGAAAGAGACGGGATTAGGCAGCCGACAGACAAAAACCTCTCAGCACAATACCGGAGATCAAGAACAATAATCCTGTTGTAGTCAAAAGGTCGCAAGGCAGCTCAGGATTAGCAAACACCAAAAAGTCAATCAAATTGCTTTCCCTGAGAACTGAGCCTCCTGTTCTAGAGCAGAATGAGGCAGAAGTAATGAATTTAAAAGAGCAGCTGCATTTACAAAATGCGATTTGGGAAAGCACTCTGCCACTTGCATGCAGCCTGGCCAAGCACTGCCACCAAGGCATCCTGCACAAAGAAATGGTGTGCCAGCATGGCCCCGGCCTCCACAAGCCTCCCTTTTGCAGATGTGCCTTTAAATATCACCCACCACATCTTGCTTGAACAAGGTGCATGCTTGATGTGCAGCATGGAAATAGTGCTACCTCCATCCCTCTGCTCTAGCAGGGGACGTGCTGGCTCTGTGCCACTGGTGGGGCGAGGGCAGCAGCCGTGCCCCATCCCCAAGTCTGCTCACTTGTAGGATGAGGGTCAGTTCAATCCCCCTTTCCCCGGAAGCCATCGCAAATTAAGTGCCAGCAGAACATGTGTTTGGAATAAAGCGCGGGCAAGAAACATTTCCCTGAATCACGACCCAAATTCTGAGACACAGATTCTTTGATTATGCCATAAGAAGCTAATAGATCTTTTCTGCTACCACCATAAAACGGATGTGACTTTTCAGTCTTTAGCAGAACACTGCCTCAGGTAGAGAGCTGAAATGTAAAACCCAGGGAGATAAATGTAGATTTAAGATCTACCATTTCTCCCAGGGAGTCTGGCTGCCTTTGGAGAAATTGGGAAACACGGTCGGTACCTTCAGCAGCAATCTCTGCTCTCCTCCTTCCCCTGGTTCTCTGTAGTTTGGAGGGGGAAGTACTCCTTACCCCTGTAGTTTGCTGGGGCCCCTTCCCAATGGGATGGCTTTTAGCAAAATGCTGAAAACAACTCAAAATCGGTCAGGTGTTGCTGGCTCTTGAGTAAGACTTCCTGAAGCCATATGGAAAAATTCTATAAAAGAAAAACGCAGCTCCAGACACCTTCTGGAGAGAAAAAGCCATTTGCCAGCTTGCTCTATGGGCCACCATCAGCACCATCCACCGCGCCGCCTTGGCAGACAGCACAGCACAGACCCATCCAATAATCTTTATATATCTCCCCCCTAAGTGCCTGCCAAAACACACCATGGAATAATGCAATGGCAGAGACATGTGGTATAAATTACAGAACACGGCCGTGCAAAGAATTTCTGCGAGGAATAAATTAAAGCGTTCAATCACAAAATCAGGAGCAGAAGGAGAGAGAAATTAAGTAGTAAGAGCAAAGCAGAGAGGAGATGTTTTAATCTTTGGTTTTAAATGAGCTAGGGAGCTCCAGAAGGCTGATCCAGATGGTGGGGACTGCAAAGGAGAAGGCTTCTGCGGGATGGTGGAGGGAGGGAGGGCAGAGCAGGGTGATGCTGGTCAGGTGTGCACCTGCTGAGACCCAAATCCAGGGTCTGAGGCAGACAAATCTAGGTGCTTGAAGTGGAGATGTGCATTAGGGTAAGGAGGAGAAGAGGGGTGCTGAGCTGGGGTGAGGGTGCTGCTCTCAAATCTGACTCTTCTTCAGGGTGAAGAAATCACCACCACCTACTTTGAGCAGTCCATGGTCTGGGTGCCTGGTGAAAAACCCATTCAGAACAAGGAATTTCTGAAGAGTTCCAAAATTTTTAACATTTGTAGAAATGTGACCATCTACTGGATCCACCCAACGCCAATAGCAGGTACCAGGAGCCATCTCCTCCCCCAGATATCTGCGGGGTGACCGCTGGGAGCAGCCCTGCCACCTCCCCTGTCTCCTCTGCTACTATCCCACTCCTGCTGCCCTGCTGTAAGTCTCAGACATGAGCTTGCCACGACCAAGAGGGAATATGGCCAATGTAATAGTGTGGGCCGACAGTTCTCTCTGCAAAGCGTTAGTCTTCACCGGCTCCCCACCGCTCTGCATTTTGTAAAGTGTCCTCCCCCCTCGTAATAAGGCAGAAAGCCCCTTTGTACCTGCAAGGAAGCCAGCACTGCTGGAAACTGGGACGCCTAAATTCTCATCACCACATGAACATCAGAGCAGGAGCAGCCATCCGCCTCTCAATCACACAACGGGGCTGCCACCTCCAGCTGCTCGCCACACGTTCCTCTCAGAGGTTGTGGCCTCTGAGATCTGCTGGTATAATTACCCACTCTCTCTAACCCATTTCTATCAGAATGAGCTTGTTTAAAACCTCAACCAAGACACCTCCCTCCTCAGGGGCCGTGGAGGCATAATGTCTTGTCTCATGCAGTATCAAGTGACTCATGGCCACCAGCACCCTGCTGTGGTCCCCATCTCCTCTGTCAGTCCCCATTTGTGATAAAATTTCAGCAAAGGAAATCAGTGTCACGATGGGTCTGGCCTAAACCACAAGCAGATGCAGTAGCAGGGCCAGAAGTGCTCATGACAACACTCAGGTTGGACGTTAGACGTTTCTTCTTGGAAAGAGCAGTGATGCACTGGCACAGGCTGCCCAGGGAGCGGTGAGGTCACTGGAGGTGTTCCAAAGCCATGGGGATGTGGCACTGAGGGATGTGACTATGGGCATGGTGGGGGTCAGTTGGGGTTGGACTGGATGATCTTAGAGGTTTTTCTCAACTGACTCTATCCTTTCAAACAACCAGCAGATACTGTAGCAGGGTTGAAAGTGCCCCAGATGACATTGCCTCAGAGGGTCCAAGCTGGGGATCTATAAACATGGGTTCTTCCCACAGCTCCGGAGCTGGCTGGCCTGGAAAGAACAGAAGAAGACGACACCGGGCTGTTCACGGATGACCAGAGCTGGCTGGATGGCAACAATGAGCGTGGGATGGAGGCTGCCCTACCAGGACCCAAGCGCCGGACACGGCAGCTGACAGAAGAGGACCTGCCTGTCAACGACTACGTGAGTGTGGGGAAGCACGCGCTGGGGGGCCTAGCAGCACCCAGGCTGCACTGACAACTGACTCTCTCCCACAGACAGAGAACGGGCTGGAGTTCCACCCGCTGTGGGATGAGCGGGGCTACTGCTGTGCACAGTGCCGCCGCGCCAACCGCTACTGCCGGCGGGTCTGCGAGCCGCTGCTGGGCTACTACCCCTACCCATACTGCTACCAGGGCGGCAGGGTGATCTGCCGTATCATCATGCCCTGCAACTGGTGGATCGCACGCATGCTGGGCCGGGTGTAAGCCCTGTGCGCACCCACCGAGCCCCCAGGTGGGACCCCCAAACAGGCTGCAGACCCCGAGCGTGGCTCCGAGGGCTGGGCCGGGCTGGCGTCATCGCCCCACTGAGTGGCGAGAGGCAAGCAATAAATGTCCTATATGAGCGATTGCAAAGAAAATGGAAAGTCGTTTCGTCTCAGCCTGTGATGCTTAATGGGTCTGAGGAGTGATCTAATTGCTCGGCTGCTTCCTCGTGAGCAGCCATAACTCAGGTGCAGGGAGTCGCCTTGCTGGGAACGTGCTGGGGTCCCCAGTGTGCTCCTGGCAGAGCCAGCACTGTTAACAACACAGCACCCCTCAGCTCTGGTGCCCTTGGGGATGTTCAGGAGTCTCTGGTAACAGCTGTGACAGCTCCAGGTGCCCTTAGCATGTTGCAGGGTGACAGGGCTCCCTGCAAACAGAGCCCATGTGGTAGCCAGCAGAAAAATGGGCAACCAAAGCTGGGGGAAATTGAGGTGCAAATGGCCCTGCAGCCATCAGCTGTCCCCCAGCCAAGAAACAGGCAAAGCCTGCAATGCAGGAGACAAAAAATAGTCTTCAAACTGCTGCCACACTGAGGAGGACACTCAAACTTCACAGCCAAAATCTCAGATTTTCTCTTTTGATTTCACCCACAAAAACAGCTGTTCCAGCAAAGGAGGATGCACATCAGCGAGCAGCAGGTGCTGAGGACTCATCACAGGCACTGCTGCAACCCTTCAGGCTCCACATCCCCATGTGCAGTATGTCCCTAGCACTGTGTCCCCGCAGGCACCCCTGTCCCGATCCCCACATTCAGCTCCCACCAGGGTCTGGCCAGCAGCCCGCTGCTTAGCCAGCCCCAGGCAAACACACATCTTAGGAGTGAATGTTTCCTTCCCTCCCTGCATCAGCAAAGTGGCGATTAGGCTTAGACAAAACAGGAAAACATCCTCAGGTCCTTTGGCAGCTCAGCTCTCCAAAGCCCCTCTCCTTTTCAGCCAAAACACGCCTGAGGATTTAAGACTCTCAAAGCACAGAGCTGACCCATGGGCTAGCCCCCATGCATCCCCTGCAGCAATCCAGATGCTCACGGCCCTCTGATCGAGCCTCCTGAGCTTCAGCTCTCCTGGGAGCCAAACATTGCCAAGCAGTTCTGACACCCCACAGGCATCACTGACCAAAGCCCTCCCTGTGTCACCCAAGGAACACACGCTGCTCATCAGCAGCTATCCCCAGCGCAGGGCAGGGCACCGAGCTCCCTGTGGGACTGCTGACTGTAGAAGTGTGTGGCACAGAGACGCGCTGAGCTGCTCAGCCATGCGTGCATAGGGTGCGGCAGGGCGCCCTGCACAGCCATCCCTGGGGACAGCCAGGCATTTCTGATAAGTCCCCCCACAAGCAGGGATGTCTCTATCAGAGGCATTTCCACAGCTACCTGCACTGGCAAAGCAGTGTTTCGCATGCAAGCCCATGCCTGCAGGCACAGCCAGGCAGGTAAAAAGCCAGCAGGGTAAAGGCAGCTCTATCCAGCCTGGCACCAAAGCCAGTCAAACAGGGATAATTCCGTGCCTCCCTGCTTCTGCATGGCTTTACCACGAAGAAAGGTGTACCTAAACACAGCCCTGCTTCTCACGTGTTGTTGCTTGGTCTCCATCCATCAGTTGCTCTCTCTCTGCAGCTGCTCCCATGCTCTGACGCACTCTGCCTCGCCTTCCAAACCCACGAGGCTCTCAACAGCCAGCCAGGGGTTGACAGCAGCTTGATTTATTCAGTGAGGTCAAAGGAGACGCAAGCACTTCAAGCTGTTTCTCTCCAGTTTTCTCCATCAGCAGTGAAACTGCCCCACACCTGCCTTGTCCCACAGGGTGCTGGGGCAGATAGCCCATACAGGAGAAGCATGATGACAAAGAACTGCCTCTCACACCCACACTTTCACTCCACCACCCCACAGCCCTCACAGGTTTGATGGCTGCAACCTGAAAACATTCCCACTTCCAATGGGAGCTTTCCTGTACCACCTTAAGCCACCACGCTCAGGGCAGCAGTGCCTAGCACGGAGAGAGAGCACAAGGAAGAGCAGGTCTGAGCACACACAGAACTTCCATCCACATCTCCTGGCTCCAGTGGTGCTGCAGCACACTGTGCTCTGAGCAGAGGACAGCGCAGGATGGACACACTTTGCACCAGGACTGAACTCCGGCCTCTGCATTCCTCCAGCAGCTCCTGGGCTAAGATGCTTCAGGCCTTTTGTTTCAGCAGAGTTGCACAACGTTTTTTATGAAGAAAATTCAATTACAAAAGTTATTTGGAAGCACAAGGGCACCTGTGAGTATTTGAGAAACATGAGCTGTAGAGGCCCAGCGGTCACCAGCTGGCCTGGGGTCAGCACATTACTTTGCATCTGGGTTGCTGCTGCTGTTCACAGGGACTTGAGAAGAATTTCCAGTGGATTAATAGAAAAGCCAGGGCAATTTCATAGAGTAAAATATCTTAATATTTATTGTGTCTCAGGACAAAAGAGTTCTACTCAATACACAAAACGAGTTAAAGCAGCATGTAATACTGACGATCAAGTCACAGCTGACTCGGTGCATGGACACCTACACCAAGGTAAAGGCACCAGGACGTACATCACCAAACCCTGCTACAGCTTACAAAGAATCGCTACAGCCTGTACTTTAAAAAGTACAACTATAAAAAAGTATATAAAATCCAGCATGAGGACAAGAGCTTGGCAACTAGCCGAGACCTTGCTGAGCAAAGAGCTACAGCAAGCAGGCACTGCTTGAACGGGACAACAGCCCCATCTGAAGAAGAAACGTGGCCAGCGATTGAGCCTGAACAGAGAGGGGGGTGCAAAAGGAGCTGAGAACAGAGGTCGGAGATGAGAGAAAGCACTGCTTTCCCAAGGGAGGCACTTAGTGAGAACAGCTTCTGCCCAGGAGCAGGGCAGCCAACAAGGGCTGCAATGAACGGTGGCAGCGGCTGCTCCGGCACAGCCGAGAGAAGAGCCCAGCACCCGCAGGAGTGCAGCTACTGCAACCACCTCAGCTACACTAATTATCCCACTCAGTGGTACAGTAGAGTAGTGTTAGGACAAGTCCCCAAGCGCAGCAGAACAGCTGTTGCACTCGTTTCGATGAGCTATCTGAGGAGAGGATCAGTCAATTCAAAGCAAGACTTCATGAAGCAGCGTCCGGAGGAAAACTGCAGGTGGTGTGGTCTTCCCCCACACAGCGAGCAGGAGGAATGCCTGCCATTCAGAAGACACCATTAACAAACACAGCATTTAGAGTTATATACCATGGAGGAGGATGCAACAGACAGGGCTTAGCAGATGCCCTCCTGCATGGCTCAGCAGCATGCTGCAGGAGGCAATGGCAGCAGCCACGGAAAGACCAGGGGTGGAGGCCCAAGGTTAATGGGGCAGCATCATAGGCAGCAAGACCACGGGGGACCTGCATGCTCTGTTTTTGATAAAGATGAAATAGTTTCCCCTTGCTTCCACCCCCTCTATCACCATGGAAGTACACACATTGCCCACACTGTGGTTTAGGAGTTGCAAACAGTCCTGAAAGCCCAGCCTAGCACAGCCAAGACTTACGTCAGCAGATAGATATACCTTAGTCAAAACCACTGTGCACTGGCGGGGCTACACCATCTCGTACTGGTTGTTCGTGATGTACTGGGACAGACAGCAGGCGAGGATGATGCCAACCAACTGAAGAAAAGAGGAAAGACACAATAGAGGTGGCCCAAAATAAGACATTGTGCTCTATTAGGAAAACCTGACCGACTGCTTCATTCATCATCAGGCACTCGCATCAGGCACTCACATCTCAGTTTTATAACATGCAAAGACAGGAGGATCTACAAACCACAGCACAGGCTGCTGCACCCCAATGCAGAGTAAGGGGGAGAGACTGAAGGAGAGGATCCTGATAGGTATCCACAAGATAGCTCCTCGCAAGCGATGCTCCACATTCCACCTTGTTACATATTGCTTTATGAAGCATCTACTGCTATACAGTAGCTTCAGAAATTACACAGATTTCAGGAGCATCACAGCCAATTGCACAACCACCAGAGAACAACCACTTCTCCTGGCTGCAAGGGCAGTGGTCAATCAAGGTTGTTGTTTCACATCAGCAACACATGCAGAACACACTGCTGTTATCACAACGTGGCCTTTCAGCCCCACACAGACATTTAGAGCTGGATCCTGCAGGAGTTTGACCTACAGAAGCCAAGTTAGAGGCACATTTACATGATTGGTCCCTGCTGGCTGTACAACACAGCAAAGACTTGCTGAATGAGTGATAAAAACCAGGAAATGGCTTCAATTCCCCAATCCAGCATTAGCCAAGCTAATTGCACGGCCGGAGCCAGGGGAAGCAGGCAGCTCACAGTCTGCGTGTCAGTCACGTCTCAGCCGCCCCATGCGGAGCACAGCTCAGCTCACATCAGCGTGGGAGGAGAGCGGAGATCAGCCCCAGCTCCTGGCTTCTCTCAGCCACAGCTGAAGGCTCCTCGTAGCACAGACTGCAGCCGTAGCCCTCCTGGCTCCAGCCTCACCCATGTTATTCAGCTTTCATTACAGGACAGGCAGGGTGACGTGCTCACGTCTTGGCTCCTCTCCCCACACCGGTGCTGTTATCTGCTGGTCCTGTGCCTCCAAGGTCACATCGTGGCTTCAGGACCACGTGTAAAGGGCAAACTCACTTCCCTCCCAACTGAAAGTCTGCCAAGCTCGCTCAGCATCCAGAGTTGAGGGAGTTTTCCAAACCCAAACAAATAAAGGCCGTCTATGCATCCTGCAGCCCCTGCTGTAACACATCAGATCTGGATTTCCCAAGCGCTCAGCCCCATTGTGCACAACTCCTCGGGAAACCCAGACCATGGCATTCACTGTGCACAAAGCCCAATTTAGCTAGGAACTCAGGGGCAAAGGCCTCTCATTTCCTGCTGGGATAAAGCCTGTCAGATTACAGGACACTAAGCACATTGTTGCATGAAGCCTGGGCAGGAAGTGTCCTACAGGATAAAGTAAACTGGAGGCTGAGGAGCTGGAGGGGGAGGAAGCAATTGCAGGTTGTGGTGGTGTGCAGGGCGTGAGGTCTCTCATCAGAGTCACCAGCACAGGGGATGCTACACAGGTGCTCCAAGAACCCAGCCACACCAGAGCCCAAACCAGTTAAAAGAGAAGACGAGGTAGGAAAAGGAAGGGCACTGATTGGGCCCTTGCCAACAGCAAACGTGGGGAGTTTACCCAGAGCAATCCAGGCTCTGTTCAGCTGCTTTGGTTTTTCCTCAAAGTCAGATGTATAAAGGAACTCTTTCCTAATAACCTGGGCTCTGAGAGACAGAGCTGATGCTGCAAGCTTGGGTTTAAGAGACTAGAGGTTGCACAGTGGTGAGGTTAAACACAGATCAGCTGCAGAGGAGCTGTTCCTCTCCGGCTGAGAAAGGCTGTGCCTTTTGTACACAGACAAACTGCACAGAAATTGAATGCCTCTGGAGAGACTCTGGCTTCACTCTGCACTGCTCCTGTTCCCAGTAGCAAGTGAAATTTACCTGGAAGCATGCGATGCCAAAGGAGATGCCAGCCACAACACTCATTTTTGACTCCATTGTTGATGTTACCAGGAGAAAACAACCCTGCAGGAGAAGAAGAGTAAGCACATGCGTCCAGGACTTTCTGTTTCCCCCCATCACAAACCTGCCTCTCCATGGAACCCTGGTGCAGGATAAAGAGTGCTCTGGCTCGCTGCAGGACTGTGCACCCTCCTGCTTGGCCTTGGCCAAACCACACAGCACCAGTGCTGCACCAATCGGTGGCCAGCCCAGCATTATCAAAGGCAGCACCGCCCCAGCTTTCCCTTAACGTGAGCACTGGGTTAAACAAAGTGACTCATCTGATGAGCATCCTCAGCATAAGCCCTGCACACATCACCAGTGATCCCTGCACCATGAAGTCACCTGTGCTCACCACACAAGCAGGACTTTGCACAGCAGCTGACAGACGTCAGCACTACGGAACGAACCTGACCAGGAAATTACGTCGTTATTCTCTTGTTCTCAGGAATGCACAGGCCTAAGTGCAAACACTGGGGTCAGGCTGATCCCTGACCTTCAGTGAAGGACTAGGAGGGACTGCGGGTGGGAGGAGAGACTCCTTCCTGCCTATCCTTCTCCTAGATTCACCCCAAAGGGATCCCTGAGCCACAGAGTGCATGCATTTAGGAAGTTCTCCTTTCAAGCGAAGACCAAACCCTTCTCTATCCAACCAACTCTTCCTTCCCCACCTACAGAACTTCCAGGGAATTTTTATGAGTGCAACTTACATCCACAAACACTTTCTGCTTGGCTTTGCTTGGGTCCCTCAGATCCTCCACCGAACAGTCATCCTGGCTCTTGCAGCAGCTCTGAGGGATTCCCTTCTGGGTGAAGTATTCAGTCTTTTCCCAGTCTGAGTAGTTCTGTACCCCGCAGCAGTGCAGCTGTCAGGAGAAGCAAGGATGATCACGTCAGGATCCCAGTACCCCAGCCCTATAGGCATTCCTGCAGCAGCTCCCGGGCCCTCAACACTCTATATCCTAGCATCCATCTAGGAAGCTCTTCAACTCCTACTCAGCACCTCTTCCCTGAAAAGGCTTTCCTCCCCAACCTAGCATAAGCAGCCTTATGATCCTTAGAAGGATGCCCTAAATGCAGCAATAGAGACTGCCTGTACTCCACACATAACTCCAGAGACCCTCCCCACCAGCCCTAACTTGGACCAGATGCTTTCCATGTGTGGCTGCCTGTCCTTCCTGCAAGGCAGCAGCAGGAGGGCTCTCAGTGCTCCTCCTATCATGCTGTTGTGCAAGAGGACATCGAATGCAGCGATGGAGGAGAACACCCAGCCAGGAACACCCAGGGGCTGGGCGGATGCACCTGGATGCCCCTACCCTCCATGATCCAACAAGGCAGAGAGGGGCACTCACAGTTCTCTGGATGGTGTCAACCGCCTCGCTGTGATGATCCATCGTTCCATTGTAGTTCTTCAAGGCTAGATTGAGGTTGCTCTCAAAGTTTGTCTTTATCTGCAAGAGAGAGGTCTCGGCAGCCGTGTGAGGAGGACATTGTGGTGCTGTCCCCACGCACGCTTTGGGACTTCAGCCCCACATTAGTCACCACTTGGTGATGGCAGGAATGACTCTGGTCATGGCCTGCAGGCATTTCCCCACTGACCCAGGCAATTACACACACTATTACAAGGCAGGAGGTGTCTCTGTGGTGCCTGGAGCGTGCGTGCAGTAACATAGCCCTACACATTGCCAGCTCTCCCAATTAGCAGGTTCCTCCACGGCAGAGAAACCCTAACAGGAGCCTTACTTACAGAAAACAGAAAGGAAAGAACATTTATATACGGGTTTCAGAAGATATATCATTCTGTGATTCTGTAGCAGGACGAGGGGAAACGGTTTTAAGTTGAGGGAGGGAAGATTTAGGTTGGATGTCAGGGGGAAGTTCCTTATTGTACGAATGGGGAGGTGCTGGAACAGCTGCCCAGAGAGGTTGTGGATGCCTCATCCCTAGAGGTGTTCAAGGCCAGATTGGATGGGACTCTGGGCAGCCTGGTCTGGTATTAAATGGGGAAGTTGGTGGCCCTGCATGTGGCAGGGGGTTGGAGATTCGTGATCCTTGAGGTCCCTTCCAACCCTGGCCATTCTGTGATTCTGGCAGACAGAGATGAGCATGGTTGGTCAGCTCCCTGCACACACAACCTTTACTGTCCCCAGCCAACTGAGTCTTTATGGGTTCTCAGCAGGACCAGGCTGCTCCTCTGGCCCGCTCCAGCCCTCCTAACGCTGCCCCAGCAGCACCTCCAACCCTCCAAGTGGATGAGCCCAGCATGTTAGCACGGGACACACTCACCTCGTGCCTGAAAACAAACCCGACGACGGCAGCCACCAGCACGATGAGGAAGATGAGGGACAGAAGCATGGCGTACTGCAGGCAGGAGACAAGAGTGCGATGGGTCGGGTGCCCCACCGGGAACCGCTTCCCTCCCGCCCCCCCGGGCGGCACCTACCAGCTTCAGCATCCACGTGCTGCCGCGGCAGGTGGCGAAGCAGCCGAAGGTGCCCAGCAGCACCACGACGACGCCGGCGCCCATCAGGACGAAAGGCACATTGGTGGCTTTCTCGTCCAGCAGCGAGAAATAGACGGCCAGGCTCACCCTGCCCCACACGCCCACGGCGAGCAGCACGATGCCCGATACCTGCGGAGAGGGAGAAAGCCGCCCTGTCGCGATAGGGCAGCGCGGCCGCGACACGCCCGCGGGGCTTGGGCAGGGCGAGGACTCGTGGGCTCGGCCCGGCGCTCACCCAGAAGACGAAGGTGTAGGTGAGGAGCACGCTCTTCAGGCAGGTGATCACCGGCTTCGTCTGCAGCCGCCGCGACGGAGACGCCATGGCCGGACCGGGCCGAGCTGCGTCCTGCCGAGCTCCGGCGAGCCGAGCCGAGCCGAGCACCGCCCCGTCAGTATTGCCGAAGACTCCCGAAGTTTACCGAATGTTTACGGAAACGGCCGAGCGCGCCCGAAGGCGTTCCGGCGGCGGCCCCTCGCGTCCCCGCGTTGCATACGGCTAATCCACGTCCCCCTCCACCCCCCGCTCCACCCCACGCGCGGGCCGTGCTGTCTGCGGGGCAGCCCCGGGGCTGCAGCACCCTGTGAACACTGCAGGGGGCAGAAGCAGCCCCGCTGGGTGAGTGCCCACAGCGGGAGCCCTCCTCACGCCTTGCTGGGCTCTATAGGGTGGGCTTTGCCCCGTCCCCTCACGCTGCTCCCGGGGCCCAGGCGGTGCACGTGCCCGCGGGCAGAGATGCTGGGAGGCGGGATCTCTCCAGCTCGGCACAGCTGTGTTATTAATTAGCACGCTTACCAGCCTGGCCGCCACATAATTAGCACATTCAGGCAGCCTAGTGCCCCGTGCCAGCTCCCGTACCTGCCTGCCAGGCTTTCCCCTCTCGTCCTGCACCAGAGCACAGCCCCGTCTCGCCCCGTAGTGCCAGGCAGCAGACCCCAGCCTGTGCCATTCATTCCCTCTGCCTCACGGAGTCTGAGCCGCAGCTGGAAAATAGAGCCCAGCTGGAACCGATTGCCTTGGGTCTGGTTTCAAACCCCACAGCGTGCAGTGAGGTTTCCTCATTTCTCAGCCCGGCTAGCCCTGCCCCGCTGGAAAAAAGGGCCATGATCACTGCGGTTTGTCCTTGGAGCTCCCGTTCCAGGAGTCTGGAGCTGGTGGTGGGAGCTCCTCCGCTCCTCCTTGCTTGAAGATTGATTCTTGGCTCCGTTGCTTGCAAGGAAACATCTGAAAAGCTTTTAGAGCCTTGGGAAAGCAGAAGGTACTCTGAAAAGTAAGGAATCCTTAGGATGTATTATTTTTGACAATCTCATCGTTTGGGGCCTGACTCATGCCTTTTGAATGTTTGGGACAGGCAGCGAAGGGGAGAAGTCGGTTTACTCAGCAGAGGCAGCACAGCCAAGCAGGAGCAGGAGCCGGAGAGCAGCGACGGAGGGAGCTGAGCGCTGCTCCCAGCCCGGCTCCATCCCGCAGGGGCTCCGGCAGCCCCCCGTCCGGCACAGTGGGGCTGTCTGGCCCTGGCATGGCACAGGAGGCAGCACCCGTCCTGCTGGTGTTCCTCACCAGGCTGGTGTCGGCCACGTGGCATGAAGGTGAGCACCGTGGTGGCACCGGTATGTGGGGCAATGTGTGTCAGGGCAGGGAGGGGAGAAGGTGAGTGATGGGAGTAAGGAGAAGTCCCTGCGTGGTAGGGCCGGGAGAGCATTGCTGCACCGTGGGGTACGGGGAGGGGGACACTGCCATGGGGCTGGGAAGGACCCAGAGATGAGCAAACAGCTGACCTCATTATCACAGACTCACTTATGGGAACGGAACTTTTTTCCTGACTCCCTGCTGTTGCTGAAGCCGTAGCCAGCAGATGTTGACCTGAATGAAGAATCCTGACCCCAACCAGGTCACGTCCCCTCCCCACTGCATGCTCCCACCCTGCCCCAGCTGGGCTGGGATCCAGCTCTGGCTCAACCACGGAGAAAAGCCCATGTGCTGCTCTTTGCAGGGGAATTCTCCCTTCCCTGTTCCTTCTTCCTCCCCTTATTGTGCTACCTGGTGCTGCTGCCTCCAGTGATGCTCCTGCCCATCTGAGATGGTCAGGGCAGTGCCTGCCATTCAGAGGGAGCATCTGCAAATAAATGGCGCATCTGCAAGGTAGCAGCACTGCCTTGCATTGCCTTATCCCTCTGGCCAGGCAGCTGCTTGCTGTGGGGAGCCACACGGAACCACGGTGCGCCAACCCCATGCTCAGCTCCTCTGGGGCTGCTGTACTGCATTGGCGCCAGCCAGCATGGGAAGGGCACCAGGATAAAAGACTTTGTGGGAACAAGTGGGTGATTTAATGAGTTTGTGGGAAGCGATGGGGAGCCGCACTGTAGTAAAGTTCTTGCTGGAAAGATGTGTAATAAAGTTTCCTCCACGTGACATAGGAGCTGCTGGTTGGATCGGTTTCAGCTTACACTCCCCCTTCCCAAAAGCAGGGGTGGGGGGAAGGGGCAGTGAGTGCTACCAGTGGCTGTCCGTTTGGACAGATCAAAAGTGACCCAAGTGCAGTGAGGTGCGGTCCTGCAGCAACGGTGGTGGTGAGGAGGGGGCAGCGCCAGGGAAGCCATCGGAAAAGGGGCGGAAATGTGAGCTCAGTGCTAGGGAATGCCGCGGCCGGACGACTCACTGCGGGGCCCAGGGGGCTGCAGGGCTCAGCGCCAGCTCTCCTTGCATGCAGGCCTTCTTCCCCAGCCCCCACGCCTTCCTCCTGCACCACTGGTCACTTCACCATGGGGGTGTTGGAGTTGGTGTGTTGGGCAGAGGGCTGGTGCAAGGCCCTCACCAAGCTGTCCCTGTCTGCTGGCCAGGAATCACTGTCCACAGCAGGGATGGCATGAGGCCAGCAGCACCAGGCAAACTCCTCCAGCAACTTCATCCTTCACTCCGGTGTAGTGCCATGCTTCTTATCCCTTGCTGTGCTGGGACAAGCAGGAGGGAGGTTTCCTTCCTTCCCTCCTGACCACCAAAAGGCCAGGGGTCTCGGCTAGGCCAGCACCCGCTTCCTGCAGTAACCACGTCTGCCCCTGGGGCTGTTTAGTCTGCGGCTGGTGCCAGCCTGCAGCCTCACTGTCTGCCCTACTTAACCCTTCTGCATCAAGCCTGGAAGTGCTAGGACAGCAGGGTGAAGTCTGCCAGGAGGTGGGATCTCTCTCTAGGGAATTGTGGGACAGTTTGGGACTGGACTGTGCTGCCGCACGAGGCAGAGTCATCACCTCGGTGCAGCCATGAAACGTCACACAGTGCCCTCATCTCACTCCTCCTGTGCAGGGTCTGGCTACTATACTGCTGAGAGCCACACCAATGAAGTGTATGTGGAAGAAGCACCCCCTGAGCCCGCCCTGGATTACCGCCGAGGTAACAGCACCCCAAGCCTGTCCCTCAGGTCCCTGAGGAAACCAAGGCCTGGCCAAGCTATACATACCCCTCACCTCTCTTCTCTCTGCAGTGCCCCAGTGGTGTGCCACGCTGAACATTTACCGTGGAGAGGCGACCTGCTACTCGCCCCGGGGGGGCAACTACCGCAGCAGCCTGGGGACACGCTGTGAGCTGAGCTGTGCCCGTGGCTACCGACTGGTGGGTCGCAGTGCTGTGCAGTGCTTACCCAGCCGCCACTGGTCTGGCATGGCGTACTGCCGACGTGAGTGCATCCCATCCAACGGGCTTGTTGGCCTCCCTGCGGGCACTGCCAGCCCTGGGTCTCTGCCTGCTGGCACGACCAGGCAGCCAGCCCAGCCACTTCCCTCCCCTCTTTGTTCTCTCTGGTCTAGAGATCAGATGCCACATGCTGCCAGCGGTGCTGCGGGGCTCATATGTGTGCTCAGCTGGGGTGCAGATGGATTCCCGCTGTGACTACACCTGCCTGCCTGGCTACCAGCTGGAGGGTGACCGAAGCCGCACATGCATGGAAGATGGGCGCTGGAGTGGGAACGAGCCAATCTGTGTAGGTAAATTCTCACCCTACTGTCCTTCCAGGCTGTTTGTGATCTGTACTGCTGGAAGGGCATTCTCCATCCTCTCTGTGCCTGCAGATGCCACTCCCAGTGCCTGACCAAGTGCTGGTGTCTTGTGCCTTTGTGCTCAAGAACCGTAGACCCTGCTGTTCCCCAACGTGCTGTTAGCCACAAATCTCAGGCTGATGGAAGGTGCAGCGCTCCATGAGCGAGGCTGAGCCTGGTCACCTGATGCTAACATTACATCAGACTTTGCTTTCTCCAGTGCCAGGCTGTGCTCAGCAGCTGTGGGAGCACTGGGCACCTGGGGTCCTCCTCTGCCCATTGTCCTACTCTTATAGCACAGCCCCAGCTGTTCCCCAAGCTTATTCCTCCTTTCTGTGGGTAGATGTTGAGCCTCCCAAGATCCGCTGCCCTGAGTCCCGTGAGCGGATAGCAGAGCCAGGCAAGCTGACTGCTACAGTATATTGGGATCCACCTCGTGTGAAGGACTCTGCCGATGGCATCATCAAGAGGTGAGTATAGAGGCAGTGCTGGCATCACCAGCCAAGGCTGGGGGCTGCACTGGGTGCCATCTGAATGCCTCTCCTGGAGGATCTAACAGAGAACCCATCTATTGGGTGCAGAGTGACATTGCGGGGTCCAGAGCCTGGGTCTGAGTTCCCTGAAGGAGAGCACGTGATCCGCTATACTGCCTATGACCAGGCATACAACCGAGCCAGCTGCAAGTTCAGGATTCGTGTCCAAGGTGAAGCGGGCTTCCTCAGGCTGTAGGCTCCCCACTCTGCCACCCCAGGGCTGGGCCTGTGCCCTTCCACCCCTAGCCTGATCTCACCTGGCCTCCTTGTTCACAGTGAGACGCTGTCCTGTCCTGAAGCCTCCACAGCACGGCTACCTGTCTTGCACCTCTGATGGCAACAACTATGGTGCCACATGCGAGTATCTGTGCGATGGGGGCTACGAGCGCCAGGGTACCTCCCTACGGGTCTGTCAGTCCACCCAGCAATGGACAGGCTCCCACCCCCTCTGTGCACGTAAGTGGTGCAGGGCAAGGCAGGGAATCTACCTGCAGAGATGCCTAAAGCTTAAGGAAGTTTCTGCCTGGAAGACTGGGGAAGAAGGAGTGCAAATCGGCATCTCTTCTTGTGCTCACCCACTCTCTTGTTGCCCCAGCCATGCAGATCAACACTGCTGTGAACTCAGCAGCCAGCCTGCTGGATCAGTTCTACGAGAAACGCCGGCTCCTTGTTATCTCAGCACCCGACGCTGCTAACCGCTACTACAAGATGCAGATCTCCATGTTGCAGGTGAGCCAATATGCTATTTCCCCTTCCTTGCAGCCCATCAGCATGTTCTCACCATCACATCCCCTCCTCCGCAGCAAGCCACCTGTGGGCTGGACCTGCGTCATGTTACCATCATTGAGCTGGTGGGGCAGCCTCCACATGAAGTGGGCCGCATCCGGGAGCACCAGCTGTCTGTCGGCATCATAGAAGAGCTCAGGTACCAGGGGATGGGATGCATGACCTTTCAAGCAGGAGCAGCTGAAGGGGGCCATCCCAAAGAGCCAGGGCAGGTGTCCCTGTGAGAACAGGGACACAGGGGGAACCCTGGGGACTGGTAAGACATAAGGCTTGATGCCAGGCTCACAAGCAAGAGTCTGCCTCTTAAGGCTTCTCCTTTCTGCTGCACTGAGGCTAAGGATGCCCTCAGCCTGTCCTCAGTGCCCAGAGTCCAAACACAGAGGCACAAGGCCCTTCTGGCAGCTTACAACCTTGAGGAAGAAGTGGAAGCCACCACCCTCAGGAGGGCCTGACCATAGCTGTGTAGGGTGAGAATACTCAGCCCCAAGCCAGGGACCCACAGTCCTGACCAGCAGCTCCCTTCTGCACCCCCAGGCAGTTCCTGCACCTCACCCGCTCCCACTTCAACGTGGTGCTCCTGGACAAAGCAGGCACTGACCGTGAGCGCTACATCTTGCCCATCAGCCCTGATGAGCTCTTTGACTTCATCGACACCTACCTGCTGAGCGAGCAGGAGGCAGTTCAGCGGGCACAGCACGGGGACCCCTGTGATTGAGGCAGCGTGGGGAGACCCCTGCCACGTGCCTTGGAGGACGGACAGCTAACTTTCTGCTTTTCTCGTCGCCCACCGTAGAGGAGGACTAGAGTGCCAAGGACTTCCAGGAGGAAGGGAGCCATTCTCAGGCTGCTCTGGCACAGGGAGGGGAGCAGGAACAAGAGCCATGTACTAGCAGTCACTGCACAACAGCCAGGGGCACCCTCTGGCCCCAGTCCTGACTGAGTGTGGATCACAACAGGAGGTGCTGGATTTTTTCTGTTCAAACCCCAGGGCAGGAGGGAGAAGAGGAGCCCAACAGGAGGAGAGACCACAGCCAAATGAGCACCCCAGATCCTGTGAAAGCTCCCAGAGCAGAAAAAGGAAGGGAGAGCAGGCAGGGTGACATTAGACGCCTCTTTTGCAGCAGCTTCATCCTCATTGTGGCCGTCCTCACGTCATACACAACTTAAACCCACGCTGTCCCCGCCTGGGCTCAGCCCTGCTGGCCAGGCACTGATGCCAGGCTCCTGCCAGAGCCAGCAAAAAGCCTTCATTAGAAGCAAATGGCCCCATGCTCAGTGAAGACAGTAACAGACATCCATTACAGAGGCTCATACTCTACTTGCTTCTCCTTACACCCAGCATCATGGCACCCTTCCTGGGAATTGTTTTGGCAGTAGAATATTACTTTGAAATTAATAAATTTGTAGAAAAAGTCAGTTCAGCATGGCCCCCACGAGTGTTCCCCATAATCCAACAGCTGGGGCATGAGCTGGTCTGTTCTCTGCCTCTGGGTCCCAGTGCAAGCACCATCCTTAGGGAGGAGGGTGGAAGAGACAATAAGGGAGCAGGTTATGAAACACAGAGGGTGGGAGGAAGAAAACTGGAGGGGAAAAAGGAAACCTAACCACATTTCAAAGCATTGTGCCTGTGGGGAAAGAAGGGAGGTCCCACAAGGGCTCAAGTTCAGCCTTACATTTGGTCCAAATTTGATTTTCCTAGAACAAAAGGAAAACCCTTTAAGAGAAGCTAGGCAAGAAGACTTTCTGCCCAAGCCTGTTTAGAGAAGAGTCATGTTTATTAAAATATAGGCAAAAAAAATAATTAAGTTTGGCACTCATCTGGCCATGCTGTGAGTGCAGCTCCAGAGCAGCTGTGCCAGCCCCAGGGTGAGCCCTGGTGTCTGTTCTGCTGCCTAGGGCCTCAGCTTGGCCATGGTGGAGCGGAGCTGGAGCGTCCCCTCTGCCCATGAGCCTGGGTACTGGCGCATCTTCTGCCACAGGTTCAGCTCCTCACCTGTGGAATCCATCCAGTCCACGGCCTGCCCATTGCTCATGCCTTAGAGAAAGGAGATGGGCACAAGTTACAGCCTGTCTCTGCATAGGAGCAGCACTTCTGCAGCTGAGAGGCGGCTCCAGGCAAAAGCACTTGCCCAGAGGCTTGGGAGCCGCACGGGGCCTCTCCCACCACAGCAGCAGCCTTCCTCAGCCCCTCACCCCCAGAGCTCCTCACCATTGCCCACACCCAGGCGAACACCTCCAAGGAAGTCATTGCTGGACAGAGGCTCCCGGTCCCAGACAGTCAGCTCCAGGCAGATGTGCTGCAGGTCCTCAGGGTTGATGCCATTATAGACAAAGGTATGGTTGTAATGAGGATTCAGGGTCTTCTTCACCACAGGCGTCTTCCTCTTGGAGGCCTTATTTTTATGTGGCAGGAGGTAGCTGGGGGAAGCATTCCCACTGGAGTTAGCAATGCACATGCAGATAACTTTTCCCCCGGAAGCCAAGGCAGCTTGATCTGATGTCTGCCTTGGATCCCACCTCTCCCCACTGGGCCTAAGAAGATGGGACATGATGGTCTGGAAGGAACTGGGTGTCTCCACCTCCTGAAAAGCAGCCCAGGGGGCTGCAAGTAGGCTGCACACAGGAAACAACAAGGACCAATTGCCCTCACACCAGCACTGTCCAAGTCACAGCTGCTTGGTGACCTCTGTGAAGATGATTTGAGAGCAGCTCCTTGAGCAGCCAGTCCTGGCTTCCAGCTCTAAGCCTGGGAGAAGGGCCAGGCCTGCAGAAAGAGCACAGCCACCTCCCCTGCTCAGGGGACCCTTCTGCACAGTCTCCAATCATGAGCAACAGGCCACAGCCCTCCTGGTCCCTGAGCAGCTCCTCTCAGCTGGCCAAAACCCAGAGTGTTTGTTACTAAGAATTCATCACTACTAAGAGATGAGCAGACAGATGGGCAGGGGGTACAAATGAAGGATACTTCCCTCCCCCAGATCTCCACTCTGGTTCAGGACATGCTCTAGGCTGCAGGCAGGGAGCATAGAGTTTTCACTTGCATCCCCCTCAAATACCCACTCACCCCTTCACAAAGCTGTCTGATGTGCCCCCTGATTTGGCAGCTGTGAGGTTCTTGGCTTCTTTGATCCAGACCTGGAGCTCACCGCCTTCTCCTGCTTTGCCTGAGAAAATCCAAAACAAAACAACACAGCAAGATTTAATCAATTTTCACTACTGGGAATTTCCAGCGTGTCTGTAGAGAGCACTGATTAACCCCAGGCTACATAGAGCTGTTGGAGCTCCAGCACTCACCCTTTCTGCCATTTCCAGCCCCAGAGTGCTTGGGAGATGGGATGTACTTCATGGAGACCACCAGCTCCCCTTTGTACTGGGGGAGGCCAGCAGCATCGACCCCAGTCTGCAAAGAGGCAATGGCTGGATTAGTGCAGCACTGCTGTGGCAGGCAGAGCAGACACAGTGACAGCTGGGTCAACACACAGCCACTCCCCACACTTGGCCCAAAGGTCTGGTTTCTGCCTGAGATAGCTCAGCCAGCACAACCACCCACAGAAGCTTCTTTGGGATGGTACTTTGCCTTAACCACATTTCTTAGGAAATTCTGTTTAGCTCAGCACCTGCAGGCTTGGGCCCCAAGCAATGCAAAAGGCTGAGTCTGCAGCAGGAGCTCGTAGAGAGAACCCAACTCCCGAATAAATCCACAACAGAAGCATCTGCTCTTGTCATCCAGCTGCATAACATCCTTTCACTGCACTGTTCTGCAGCCCACGACAGGAAGTCAAGTCCAATTTCCCCTATTTGTTTCCCTGAAGTTGGCTCCCATTCTTGCTTACTGGGGGAGGGAGATGGTAAGAGCTGCAGTCTTGAAGTAATCAAGCACACAGAATGAGAATACCTCACTGGGCAGGGACACGTCCCATTGCATCACATAGGGGATATGCTGAGGAAAAGGGAAGTTTGGCTCAAACCTAGATCTGCCTTTTCTGCTACAGCAGTGCAGCTATCCGATCTGGGCACAGGACTTGTTTGGGCACAAGACTTGCAGCAGCTCTGTCAAGACCCCTGTGCCCCATGCAGGCAGAGGCAGCAGGTCGGTACCTTGCCGTGCAGCAGCAGGAACTCCTCCAGCTGGCTGCTGAAGTTCCAGGAGTCCATGGGGATCTCCGCCTCCCCCAGGAATGTGTTGCGGCCAAAGCGATCGTGGTGCCAGACCGAGAACTGCAGCGTCCTCGCGAGCAGGAGGGATTTATTAATTTCATACTAAGAAGAGAGGCAGGGAAAAGATTGGTGAGCTGGCAGACTATGCTGAGCTCAGTGCTGCTGGGAGCATGTGCTGTGCAGGTGAAGCAAACCTCAGAGTGTACCCAGGGCTCACGGCACACAGCCACCCCACTCCTTCCCACCACAAGGGAAGCGGCGAGCCAGCCTGGCGAGCCTCAGGTGGTTGGAGCACAAGAGCTCAACAAACTGACACACTGAGGCTCCTGTGGCAAACTGAGCCTGGAAACCAGAGCATGCTTTCCAGTTCCCCACTTCCCTCCCATCAGAGGGGATGGTGCAGCAGGACTCAGGACAGAGACCAGCCCTCCCCACTGTCACAGCAGGGACAGCAGCATGAAAGGCAGTGCCTAGTGCTTCCACCACTGGGGCCAGCCCTGCCTTATCTCTGCCTGCACAGCCCTGCTGCCCTGCAGCCCATACAGCCCTGGCACTGAGGAGCTTTCTCCAAGGGAAACCAGCGGCCTCAGATCAGCAAAAGGGGGGTGGCATAGGAGCCAGGAACATGGGCTGCATGGCATCCAGGGATGTGACAACAGTGATAGCAGAGCAGTGATCCAGCCTGGAAATGTTTTATTCCAGCTTTCAGAGCACAGTATCTAGATGTGCATCCAGCTCAGGGTTTGGAGCCCATTTCCCCAGGCAGGGAGGGGAAGGCAGAATGCAGCAGGGCAGCTCAGCTCGTTGTGCTGCAGCCTCAGGCAGAGGGAAGCTGGCTGCCCTGGCCCATCCCTGCTCACCTTCAGCAGCTCGTTGTACAGCGGGTTTATGGTGTTGCGCTTGATGGTTGTCTTGCGCTTCCCTTGCCGGGATTTGTCAGGCAGGAGGTAAGTTTTCACATACCTGAAGGGAGGAACAGGCAGAGCTCAAGCCCCCATGGACAACTCCAGACCTGCCACTCTACCAAGACCCCTGCTTACAGCTCCCACCTCTCTCAATGCCACCAACCTGTCCCTCCCCACTTTCTGCCACCATTTCCCTCCCAGCACTCACGGGTTGGAGCGCTTCTTGGCCTCGTCCCCATAGGCCAGCTGCCGGCACTCCTTCACATGGATAAACAATGTCTGTGTCTTCTGCTCGTAGCTCAGGGAGAAGGAGATTCCTCCAGTGACTGTGATGTTCCCGAAGTCACCAGCCTCGCTGTAGATGCTGACCATGCTCCCCAGTGTGCTCTGCAAAGCATGGCTGGGCTGAGCTGGACAGTGTCACCATCCAGGTGGTCCTCAGCATAGCTGTTCCCAATCCCTCTTAGCCAGCCCTGCCTGGTTGGGGAGGTCACCAGGTGCCCCCATTAACACACAGGCTCACTTGACAACAGCTGGGCCTCTGGTTTTTAATCCCATTCCAAGGGATGAAGCTCCCATGGCCCTTCTCCATGGCTTTTATAGCACAGCCAAGCCTCAGGACTCACCGAGGAGGTGCCACTGCGCATGCTGCCCCGCGCCACCCGCTGTCGATGGATCTCCACTAGGTTGTCAATGTCCTCCTCCTCCTCATCCTGCAATCAGAGAGAAACAGCTCACATCAGGAGTGTGGGGCAGCACAGGCACGGCCAGCTCCAGCACCACCAAGGGTCTCACCAGCTCTGTGGTGAGGCCAGGCACTGACTTGCTCCTGTCTCCCATGGAGCTGCTTTCACCCACAAATTCCTCTGGGCGCAGGTCGATCACTGACTTGGTGTAGTCTGCACAGGAATTCGTGGGATTAGCAGAGCACTGCTGCTCCATCACAGCACAGCAAGAACCAGCTGCATGCCAGGAAGCCCAACCTCTCACCTGCGGGTCTCACCACCCTCCGGGGGTTCTTCTTGAAGATGGTGTCATGATCATTCACCAACGTGTTGCTTCGGCTGCCTGTGGGAGTCTCCTAGGGAAGAGAAGCCCCATTCAGAGCAGAGCAGAGGGGACTCCAAGGGACTCCCAGTGCCCCAGCCCCAGCTGGGCAGCAGAACACACCCGTCCGTTGGTGACAGAAAGCACATTTTTGGAGGGCAGAGGGAGTGTCAGGCTGGCTGCCACGGGTCCTGCTGGTCCAGCAACCTGCTTTCCCTCTTTGATAGTGGTGGCTTTATCCAGAGAGTTCCTTCTGCAGAGGACACAGAAAAAGCTCTGTCTCAGGCCTGCGCTTCAGCCAAAAGCAGCAGGGCCAGGAAACCAGGCTTTAGCTGGGAGCTGTTCCTGCTGTGAGCTCCAAGGAGCCACATGAGCAAGCCTGGAGCAAACAACCTGCCTGCCCAGCCTGAGGTTTCAGCCTGGAGAGGAAAGCCAGCATCTCCCTCATTAGAACCATGGCAGCAAACAGATGCAAACAGCCTCTGGCAGAAGCCCTCGCTCTCTGCCAGGCCAGCACTGCAATGACAACGTGCCCCATTCTTCCCTACCTGCCCCCCCCAGCAGCAGGAGCAGGTCTGTAGCCATCCAGGCTCATGTTTTCCATGGACTCTGTGTCACTTTTGCCTTCCCGAGGGTCAGAGGCATCAGGAAACAAACTGCAGACAAACAAAACCACAAGCATGTCCTGCTTGGCGAGGAGGCCAGCAGTCAGAGCAGGACAGCAGCCTCTCCCCCATCTACTGCACCCAAACGGGCTATCGGTGACTCCCTCTCCAAACACAGGGTTCCTCCTCACCTGGGCACTTTCCGGGGCTCTTGGGGGCTCTTCTGCCGGGCTGCAGAGGAGCCCTTGGGGTCACCAAGCTGTGCTTTGTGCAGAAGTGTCTGTCCCACTGTCTCCCTTTTGCTCGCTGAAAGCAGAGAGGACTCAGGAGGGGCACAGTCCAGCTGGAAAGCTCACAGCAGAGCCCAGGGAAAGCTGAAGCACCCCAGAGGGTCACAACCACCTCACTCCAGGCTGCAGGAGGAGACATGGATCCAGCACTTCCTGACCTGCCCTACCTGCAGACCTGTGCCGCAGAGACAGGCGCACCATGTCGCTGCCCAGACTGTTAGCAAAGCGGTTGACCCTCTGGTCGTAGAACCAGTCCCCTGTTGTCTTCTTCAGCTCCCTGCAGGGCAGAGGGGCAGTGAGAAACTATTAGCTTTAGCTGCCCATGGAACTGCAAGCCAATCAAGAGGAGCATGGATAGAAGTGGCTAAGCAGAGACTGTGCCCTGGACAGACAATGGGTTACTGTCAATATGGAGTAAGACGGGGGCTTTGCAGGGCAGGTGAGGCCAAGGAGAGGAAGGAAACCTGGGCTGTGTGAAACATGGGCTGAAATCACATAATGGGGAGACAGGAACAGGCCATAGCCCAGCTCTTTGTCACCCAACCAGGGGCGCTCACCTTGGACAACGGCCTCATGATGGAGATCAGGCTGAGAACCTAGGGCTGGACCACAGGGGTGGCTGTGGAGCATTGGGTTGGGGTGAGCAGAAGGAGGAAGGGGACAGAGGAGCACACAGAAGACCCATGCCGCTCATCCCCAAGCCCCGTGTACTCACGCCTCCTTGGTGCAGACTTTGCAGCGCCAGGAGCTGTTGGGGCCATAGGAGCGGCAGTCCCGGCACACCAAGTGGTTGCAGCCCCGGCAGGTGTTGGTCTTGGGGCTGATGCGGCCCAAGCTCTGCTGGCAGCGGGCACAGGTCCGCTCGCTGTAGCGCTGGCTGCTCCGCTTGGCTCCTTTGCGCCGGATCTCCAGCAGCTCATTCTTCAGGCGCCTGCATGGAGCCCAACAGTTGGAGTGGTCAGAGCCTGAGCACCAAGTAGAGCTCCTGGCCGGCCCCAGCCCCTCTGAGCAAACCCCAACCACACCTGATTCTCCTCTCCTCAGCTTTACGGAGCTCCTCATCGCGCTGCAGGACCTGCAGGATCAAATCCTTCTCAACATCCGACAGGAAGGACAGATCCACAGCCTCCGACATCACCCTGACCCCAAGCAGCCGGATGCGTCTGTACTGGAGGCAAGCAAAGTCCATGGCGGGGTTACAGCTCTGCACCGCTCCCTGCTCAGACCCATGCAGGGCTCACACCACACTACAGTCCCCAGGACAGCTCAGAGCCTCGTCCTGTGCCTCCAACACGCATTGCATTCTGCTCAGCACGGCTGCATTCCCATTCCCACTCCCAGCCTCTGGTCAGCCCTGCACAAGGCACAGCTCTCGGTGTTTTTCCAGCAACCAGCCAGGCACCTGTACCAGCTGGGTTATGGAAGGACAGGGACGGTGGCTGCAGAAGTGGGAGCTGGCACCAAAGATGGCAACCCGCAACCCCAGAGACGGCAACCTCCAGCCCCGTCCAGTAAGCAGACACAGGTGAGCTCCCGCAGGTTCGCAGCCCGTATGTAGGGCAGAGCAGGGCAGGGCACCTCGTGCTCCCAGCGCCACAGGCCGGCGGCACCGGTTCTGCTGGTCTGCAGGCAGCCGGCACCACCCGGCACCGGGATGGCTGTGCCGTGCAGCCCGCGGCCCTCCGGCCAAGGGACGTCGGCTGCTCTCCTGGGCTTCCGCAGCGGAAAAGCCCCGCTCCTGACCTCGCCGGGGAGGGCCCTTCCCGTCTGCGGAGTCGCCGCACCGCTGCTGCAGCCGTGGGGCCGCTGCCAGGGCAGGGGGAAGGGGTCAGCGGGAGGAGGGCTCCCACGGATCCACAGCCTTCGTACGGGACGGAATTCAAGGGCGTGAGCACGGAGAAAGAGAAGGACTCGCTGCCGACGCAGACAATGCTGTCACACTGTCAATACCCGCACCGCCGATAAGCTGCCCGGTCTGTGCACAGAGCTGCGTGACTCCCCCGCCCGCCACCACCTCCCCGGGACGCGCACCGCCCGGTTCCGCTGGCCAACCCCGTGTCTGCGTTTCCAGTGGGTCCGAGTGCCTTCATGGCACTACCTGGGAAAGCCGTGGAGTCGGGGCAGAGCCATGACAACTGCCGCGCACGGCCGAGCAAACCCAGAGGGGCGCGAGCTCGAAAGTGCCGGACACACGGACACGGCGCAGTTCCATCGCCCGCACAGCGCAGCAGGGCACGGCCGGAGCCCCCCATGCCGTGCCGTGCCACCGCCAGGGCCCAGGAGCCCCCGCCCACCGGGACCCGCTCCCAAGTCCCGGAGGTGCTGACCCGTAGCTGCGATCCCCCTCTCGGTCCCCCCAACCCCACGCCCCGATACCTGCAGCGGCTCCGGCTCCGCGCGTCCCAAAGGCTACGCTCCCGCCGCACCTGCGCGGCCCCGCCCGGCCCCATGGGGCGGCCCCACGGCCAGGAGCGGACTCGTGGTTCGCTTTCGCCGGCCCCGGCCCTGCTCCGTTCCCTCCTACCGTCTCCTCAGCCCTCGCGGCGGCACGCCCCGGTTCTATTGACACACGGATTTATGAGGCTGTCCGCAAACAGCAGCCCCGGCCCCGGACGCAGCCGTGCCCGCAGCTCCGGGGTGCCTTCCTGCAGCCCTATCGGGGTAAGCAGCTCCTCCCAGAGAGCACACACGGGCTGCCACGGAGCCCATCGGCGCCGGCACTGCTGGGAACCGACAGGCAGGCTCCAGGACAGAATAAACGCTGAGGTTTATTTGGCTATGCAGCTCTTCTATGTGAAAATGGGGTTGAAAGTGCCAGCACACATCCTTGGCAGTGCGATGTCCATGCACTGGGCGGCAGTAGGCAGAGCTGGGGTAGGACTATGGGCACCCTCAGCCCCATCCTCTGCCATCACACAGTCCCTGTGCAGCTCAGCTGAGCACAGCTCCCCTTGCACAGCAGCCCTGGGCAAGGTGCAGGGATGGCAGGGGCCCGGCTTGCTGCTGGGCACTGCTGCCACCTGGGACCACGGGATGTAAACCACATCCAGATGTCAAAATCCAGACCTGGAACTATGCTGGGGCCCCGCGGCCAGCTAGGTGGGCGGTGCTGGGCGGCACTCAAGGTCCAGCACAACGTGATGCACATGGGGTGCGTAGGATTTCACTGCCTCTATGTGCAGGATGCGGGTCTGCCATGGCTGGCTGTGCAGCTCTGTCAGCAGCCCCCGGATCCGCGCAGCAGCTGCTTCAGCCCAGCTCCACCACTCGGGCCTGACCCTGGCTGCCAGCACCTCCTGCCCACTGCTCTCCATCTCCTCGGAGCCCCGGTGTTCTTCATCCTCCTGCTCAGAGCTGGATTCTTCTGGGAGTCTCTGCTCATCCTTACGAACAGGAGGCACGGGGCGAGCCTCCACGTTGTGGTGGATGTGTAGAACCCCTCCTGTGCCCTTCTTCAGGACACGGCAGGCCACGGGCCAGCCCTCCTCAGAGCTGGGGATCAGTCCCAGGTTCACCCGGTCGGCCACATCCCTCAGCTGCAGCTGGGAGGAGGAGGAGGATGGTGAACGGGGCCCACAAAAGGGTAGAGCACCATGCCCAGGGTGCTGCCCACCTGCCTGCTGTCCCCAGCGTGAATCTGGCAGCGGTCCTGCACACCATTCAGTGCCAGGTTCCTCTTCAGGGCCTCTAGGGCGTGCGGGTTCCACTCACAGGCATGGGCAAAGGCAGCAGCCGCGTGAACCAGATACGGTAGTGTGAAGTACCCAATCCCTGGGGACAGAGGAGATAGCAGAAAAGAGAGCATAGGGCAGGTATCCCCTGGAGTCTGCTCTCCTCCCCAGAAGCACCCTTAGCTCTACACATCTGCTCAGGTCGGGGTCAGAACTTCCCCAGGTATTGGGGAAATGCCTGCAAAATGGACTTTCATTTCTCTCTCATCCCATAAAACCAAAATTCATCTTAAAAAATGTTTACAGAGAAACTTATTTTATGGTCTGTCTTTACCTGTTAATTCTGCTATTCTGTTCTGCTCCCAGCCTATGTGGAAGTGTCAAGTCTGGTCTTTATTTTAATTGATCAAGAGCAGCTCTGTGAGTGTCGCTTTCTTTCTCTGTGGCACAAATAGGAAACACTGACTTCCCTACATACAGAACAGAGCTCTCTACACACAGAAGCCTGATGCCGTGTCCCCAGGCATTCATGGCAAAGACAGACCAGCTGCTTGCTTTAGTTAGCAATAGTTGGTTACAGAAGCACATCACACTCAATATACTCAGGACACTGATGGGAGCTTGATGGGATTGATGGGATCCAGGTTCAAAAAGAGAACAAACCTTCTCACTGGATGCAGATGGTTCTTGTGAGCAGCAATAAGTACAGAGCAGTGCTCTGCAGAGCCTGAGCACAAGGTTGTCACAAGCATCCAGTGCGGTCCCAGGAGGGACAGCAGTGCTGGAAGCCCTTCCAGACAGGGCAGGAGCTCTAAGTCAGGTCCCAGACCATTTTTCCAAACCATTTCATTTTTCAGTGCAGAGTTAATACTGTTCCACATCCATCTGGATGCCATCAGCACCTGCATCACTGCTCTCCACCTGCCCTGCAGAACTCCTCCACCACCCCCAAGGGCTGTTACCTGCATAGAGATCCACCAGCACCTCCCCAGAGCACTGCATTGAGGCCACTCGCAGCTTCTCCGTGATATTACCCGGGGAGAACATACATTTTGTCACATCGAACGTGTACCTGGGGGACACCATCAGTGAGATTAGCTCCCTCTCCCAGCTTCAACAGCCACATCCCACATCACTGCTCCTCCTACCGAATGCCATTGTCCACATGCTCCACCCAGCTGTTGTGGCCCAGCAGCAGGGTGACACTGGGAGAGCGCATCTTGTCTGGCAACACCCGTCCTCTCTTGGCCAGGCGCTGGGCACCCAAAGCCGAGGCAACCGTCTCCCAGAGCACAGGGCCTGCAATGCAACCATGCTGGGAGCACCAGGAGATGTGAGCAGCACCCCCATAGCAGCTCTGTGGGCAGCTCCACTCTGCTCACCCAGCTTCGCCCACAGCGCAGCACTGAAGCTGTCCTCACTCAACAGGACCAAGTCCCCATGCCGCTGCCAGGTGCGGGGCACATCGCACTCCAGCTCTTCTGACCAGCTCTCTCCCACTTCCAGCAGCAGCCGGCGCAGCTCACAGCGCAGCTTCTGAGCGGGTGGCTGCATGCTGGCGGCCTTTGAGGGAACAGGGTCCTGCAGGAGGGACATGGTGAGTGAGGCCACCAGCCTGAACCTGTGCCTGGGAGGCAACGCAGGGCTGTGCCCACCTGGATCTGGAGCAGCCGGCAGGACAGCCCCTGCAGCTCATTGTCCTGCAGCCACTGCTCCGCTGCCTTCCCCTCCAGCACAGGCAGAGCCACGCTGCCCCCCGGCACCTTCTGCAGCCGGTACCGGGTATCCAAGAGCTGGGCCTCTTCCAAACGCTGCCTGCAGGGCCAGGGTCACCTCACGCATTCTTTTCCCCCTACAGCCTCCCCAGTCCCGCTGCAGCCAGAGCACAGCCTGAGGACACCTCAGGGCTCCTCGGCTCACCTCAAGTGCTGGGCAAAGCGTGGCTCCGTGACCAGCGCGGGGATGGTGCCAACCCCCGCAGCCATTGCAAAGGACGAAGAGACACGGACGGCCAACAGGAACGTGGCACCTGCGTGTGGGATACGGGGGTGCTGAGCTCGGAGGGGGCACGAGGGACACTGAGGGGACAGGAAATCCAAGGGGAGGGAGCACCGAGGGATGGGGGGGCTCAGAAGTGGGGACCGTTAAGGGATGGGGGGCACCAGTGGATGAGTGAATGTGGCGCCAATGCAGGTGGCACCCCGGGACCGGGGGAACCCAGGGATGGCGGACCGGGGGGCGATGTCTCAGGGCCCGGCCCTGCCTCGCACCGCACAGCCGCGACTCGGAGCCGCCCGGCAGCCCCGGGAAGGTCCTGCTCCAGGCCGCTCCCGCACTCACATCCCCCAGCCCTACCGCACGAGCCGCCGTTTCCCTCCGGAGCGTTTTCCGCTCGCGCTCCACCGCCACGTTAGACGAGGGCGGAAGTGGGGGGGCGCGGTGCCGCGCGGGGACCGGAAGCGGCGCGCGGCGACCGGAAGTGGCGGGCGGCATGGCGGGGCTGTCGGTGCGCGACCCGGCCGTGGACCGCTCTCTGCGCTCGGTTTTCGGTAAGGGCCGCGCGGCGGGGGGCGGCGGCGGGCCGGGCTGCCCGAGTTGCGGCTCTGCGGCTTCCTGCCCCCCGCGCCGCAGGCTGAGTACCGCCGTCTCTCTCCCGCAGTGGGGAACATCCCGTACGAGGCCACAGAGGAGCAGCTGAAGGACATTTTCTCCGAGGTCGGACCGGTGGTCAGCTTCAGGTGAGAGCGGTTCGGTCGTCCCCTCTGCTCCCCCGGCCTCCCTTCGTGCGCGGCGGAGCGGCCTTCAAACGGGCGCAGGGGAGCGAGGCCTGGGCCCGCGCGGGGCCGGCAGCGCTGCCGTGTGCTGGGGGTGTGTGAGGGCCGCGCTCTGTGTTGAGAGCTGGGGGTTGAGCCCAAGCGTTGCAGTGTGAACGTGGGCGTGCTGTATCCACGGCCGGACCAGCTGCCTCACTGCATCCTAACTGTGCTCTGTTGAGAGCCGTGGGTGCAGAACGGGAGCACCGAGGAGCTCTGCGGGGATGTTTACTGACTCCCAGCTGCAGGCTGCCCTCAATGGTGATGGCTCTCCTCTTGCTGTGCAGGTTGGTGTATGACAGGGAGACAGGAAAACCGAAGGGATATGGCTTCTGTGAGTACCAGGACCAGGAGACGGCCCTCAGTGCCATGCGGAACCTGAATGGACGGGAGTTTAGTGGGAGGGCCCTCCGTGTTGACAATGCAGCCAGCGAGAAGAACAAGGAGGAGCTGAAGAGTGAGTCTGAATTCTGTGCCAGAGAACGCTGATGCTGTACTGGGCCTGGCCTTCCTGGCATTGCAGTACGTACCTGGCTCTGTGAGGCTGGCAAAGCTGGCCTGCTTCAAGTGACCCAGCAAACAGCTTTGCAGAGGGGATGTGGGCTGAGCTGGTTGTTTTCTCTTCCAGATCTCCTTGCTTTTGCTGCCTCCCATTAATGGCATGGCATTTCCCTTTTTATGAGCAGCCAGTTCTAAACACAAGCTCACACTGCCTTCTGAGGTTGCAGCTTATATCACAAACTGTTGCAGGCTTGGGGACAGGTGCACCGATCATAGAGTCACCCTATGGGGACCCTGTCAATCCTGAGGATGCCCCTGAGTCCATCAGCCGTGCAGTGGCCAGTCTGCCGCCTGAGCAGATGTTTGAGCTGATGAAGCAGATGAAGGTGAGTGAAGAAGGGAGTTATGCTCCCTGCTCTGTGCATGAGCACCTTCTACCACAGCTGCCTGTGCCCCATAGCCCATATCATGCCTTGCTAGAGTGCTGATCTCTGTGTATTCTCAGTTGTGCGTCCAGAACAGCCCTCAGGAAGCCAGGAACATGCTGCTGCAGAACCCCCAGCTGGCTTATGCCCTACTACAGGCCCAGGTGGTAATGAGGATCGTCGATCCGGAGATTGCACTGGTTTGTCCCTCACTGTCTTGACTGGGCTGGTAGGATGTTGGCAGCAGCCTGTTGTGAAGTGGAGAGTGGAAGATAACTCCTTTCTCCTTCTTCTGCTTCTAGAAAATCCTGCATCGTCAGACCAGCGTTCCTCCTCTGATCCCAGGCAACCAGCAGGCTGTGCCAGGACCTGGGCCAGGACCAGGACCTGGGCCAGGGCCTAATGCCCAGATGAACCCACAGAATACCCCATCATCCCAGCCACAACCCATAGTAAGAGCCATTGAGGCACATGTACCATGTTGGGGAGTAGTGGCATTATCAGCCGAGGTTTCCCAGCTGGGCTGACAGGGCTTTGCTGAGGCCTGGTTTCTCTCCTGGACAGGGTGGCATGCATGTAAACGGCGCTCCCCCTCTGATGCAGCCGCCTATGCAGGGAGGAGTGCCAGCCCCAGGACAGATGGCAGCTGCTGTGCAGGGCCCTGGCCCTGGCCCCATGGCTCCAGGAGGTGAGTGTGTGGGTTTTGGCTGAGCGGTGTCCAGGCTGCCCTGGGCATGTGGGTCCTGCAGACAGCCCCACTGTATCTTCCCATAACTATAGGGCTGGGCCCCATGAGGGCACTTGTACTCCGTGCAATGGTTGTGACTGCTGTCAGTGGCAGTTCAGAAAGTTGGCTTATCTCCATGGGCAACCAACACCAAGAAAATAAATCTCCAGATGTTAACCCAGGAGCTGGGAGGGGGTAGGTATTTGGATCCAAAGGAATGGGTTGGTTGCACAGGGACAAGAACAAATGTGTCTTACCTCTACTTTTTCCCCATCAGGTGGATTGCAGCCGCAGGTCGGCATGCCTGGAGGAGGGCCTGTGCCATTGGAGCGTGGACAAGGTACATCAGAGGTTAAGTTTATGCCATGTATTGTGAGCCTTGCTCCAGCAGGGGCCCAGGCTACAGGTTCTGAACAATGTTGCACAGCGAGAGCCTCTGCCTGCTTTGTACAGCCTTGTTACTGCTGCATCTGCAGACATGGCAGCTCCTATAGCACTGGGCCACGCCTGACTTTGTTTGCTTAGGTGCAAGGCTGTGGTAACAGCTCTCCTGCGTCCAGGACTCCAGCCTAGGCACCAGTTTGCTTCCAGCTTGTTCTACACTGTGTTGTGCAGATGCATCCTGGAAGCCAGGAGAGCTGTCGTTCCACTGGGTGGGATGTGCCTGTGTTTTCTATCTCTCTATGATCCCGTGTCTGACTCTGCTTGTGCAGGCAGGCAGAGCTTGCTCTTCTCCAGTCCCTGCCTTGCTTCATTGCTGCCTGGATGCTGGGAAGCAGCTATGCTGCTCTAGTGTCTGCCTGTGTCTCCTTGTGCTTTCTGTGCCGTGCCCAGCAGAGGGAGCTGGATCTTCGCTTTTGCTCGTGACAGTGTGTACGAGGCTTGGCAGGGAGTTCTGCAACGGGCAGTTGCTTGGCCCTCACTCCCTCTGCAGGCACGGTCTGTACAGCCCAGCCCTGGAGCTGGATTCCTTGCCATTCAGCACTGAGCTGCTGCCCCGTGCTTAGGGCAACCGAAGTAAGGCATTCCTGTTCTTTCAGTAGTAAGACATGCAGGGCTCTGACATCTCTGTCGCCTAGATTTGTATCTCAGGTCTTGTGTCAGCAGAGTGGCAAACCTGTTCTGAGTTTCTCCAGTCTTAAGTGTCTTAAAGGCAGCTGACTGTCATTATTCTCAGAGTGAGCACCATCTTCCCAAGAACAATCCTGCAGTTCTTGGCAGTTTCACTGATACTCAAAAGGTTTTGAAGAGCAGACAGAAAACCATTGCTGGGGAGTGCCTAAGGCATCTGCAGGCAGGGGCAGGAGCTGACTTGTTGTGGGTTGCAGGAGGCCCTGCAATGTGCCAGTTCTCTTGGCAGGACTTCCTGCGGCAAGGTTCACTCCACTCCTTGCATGTTCACAGAGTGAGGAAAGAAAGGGCTGTGTCCAGGCTTTTTGCCGAGGTGCCTTCTATACCTGTGGTGGCAGACGTGGTGGAAGTTGCTGATACCGCCAAACTGGCAGCAGGCAGCATCTTCTCAATAGGTGTCCTGGGGGATGCCAGGGAGCAGAGGTGATTTTACAGGCCAAGACAGCGCCGTCCCCAAGGCTGCGTGCATGTGTGCATACACTATTTACGTGTCTGCTCTTCTCCCTCTTTTCCTGCTGCTTGCCCAGGGACCCTGCAGCTCTCGCCCGTGGGACCTGCCAGGCCTGCGTCTATCGAACGCGTTCAAGGTATCACGGCGCTTGCCTGCTCCAGGCTGTCATGGAGCTCGTGGTGCAGTGTGTGGAGAGCAGCTGTCACCACACTCAGTGCTCAGGGCTGGGGACTGACATCACTCCATGTAGCTTGGCAGGGTTAGGAGGAGGCAGGATTTCCTCTGGGGGCAGGAGAGGAGAACAAGATAATGCCATGCAGAGAGTCTGAGTGCCTGTTTGGAGAGGGTCTTCAATGAGGATCCAGCCTCCTTAGACACTTCCATGACAGGAGCTTTCCAGGTTTTGCTTTGCCCCTGGTCTCACATTGGCCCATGCTCTTAGGATTGCCAAGGGGCACCCACACTCTGAGCAGTTGGTGTTGTAAGAAGCCTGAGAAAGAACCAGAGGGGGAAAGAGTGATGTAATAAGCATCCAGGGAAGGGGCTTCTGTGCTCTCTGGCCTTATCCAAGGGACTGCACCCCCAGCAATCAGCACAGCCCATTTGCCTGTGTCAGGAAGCAGAGAGGCAGTACACGTCCCAGCCCTGAGGCGGCTGGGGGACAGTCTCAGCACAGCACTGGTTGTGCAGGTCCTCACAAGTTCTTGTATGTCTCCCTGGCAGTGCCCATGCCAGACCCGAGGGCCCCTATGCAGCGTGGACCTCTACCTGCTAGTGGCCCGCCACCCCGAGGCCTTTTGGGAGATGCCCCGAATGACCCTCGTGGAGGGACCCTGCTCTCAGTCACTGGAGATGTGGAGCCCAGGTGAGGGGAGAGGGAAGGAGAGGAGCCCCTTGCACTGTTCCCTGCCCAGGGGTGACCTCACTGAGGACAGGGATGGCACGAGCCTTCCGGGAGTCACTGCTGCCTGATTGGAGGCCTGTGTGCTGCCAGCCATGGGGACCAGTCCCCTTCCCCAGGGATGGGGCATCCCCAGGGTGCTATCATCAGCCCTGTGACATGGGACTGACAGCATTCATCCCTGTGCAAGCCTTGCCAGCGGCCGGCTTTGGGGGCAATCCCAACGCTCTTCCCAGACCATGCCAAGCCAGTGTCTGATTTACACTCTCTCGCTTTTTCTCCTCCTCCTGCTTTGCTCTCCTCGTCTCTCTGCATCAGAGGTTACCTTGGGCCACCCCACCAAGGAGCCCCTATGCATCATATGCCTGGCCACGATAGCCGTGGCCCCCCCCATGAGATGAGGGGTGGACCCATGGGAGAACCCCGACCACTGATGGGAGAGCCACGGGGGCCCTTGATGGATGCTCGAGGTGAGAGAGGGGGCATGAAATAATGGGTGGCTTAAAGCATGCAGACAGAGGGTCAGAGTGGAGCTCGCTGCCTCAACTCAAGACTTAAAAGGGGGTTTGGGCAGTGAAATGAACCTAAGGCATGAGGAACAGTCCCACAGGGTAAGGGGCTTCTTCCAAGCATGTCTTCCTTTTCTCCAGCCCTACATCTTCCTGGCATTTGCCAGCTTCCCAGCAGAGAAGGCAGTGGGCTCACTCCCATAATCCCACGACACTGCTCCCTTCTACAGCTTGCCTTGTCCTTTCTCTGCAGTTGGAAGAGATCCCCGAGGGCTGGAGCCACGAGGGCTGGAGCCCCGGGTGATGGAGGCGCGGGGCCTGGAGCCAAGGGGCATGGAGCCACGGGTCCTGGAGCCACGAGTGCTTGAAGCCAGGGCCATGGAGGCCAGGGTCATGGAGTCCCGGGGCCTGGAGCCTCGAGGGCCTGGTCCCAACCCACGTGGCCCGATGCCAGGTGGCATACAGGGTCCTGGACCACTTAATATGGGAGCCAGCGGTCCACAGGGGCCCCGCCAGGTACAGCTCTGTGTGGCTGACTGTGCACTGATGGTGTCTTGTGGGCAGGGCTGGGTGAGGGGTATGCATGTGACTGCTGGAGGTGGAAGACCTCCTGCAGAGCAGTGTGTCCTGGAAGTACAAAGCCTGCTTTATGTTCCTATATCTGTATGGCTGAGTCCAGAGACCCCTCTGTTCTTATCCCCTCTCTTGTATCTATAGGTTCCTAACATGGCAGGGGCTGGCATGCAAGGAGGGGGCATTCCTGGGGCTGGGGTCCAGGGAGCTGGTCAGCCTGGAGGCTTCAGTCCTGGACAGAGCCAGGTCACCCCCCAGGATCATGAGAAGGTGAGTGGACAGGTGGGAAGGGGTTAGAAAATGAGAGTAGTGCTTTCTGTGTGCCTTACCATGGCAGAAGACAACCATGCTTCAGAGAACTTGTTTTCTTTCCTGTTGCATTTGGAGCAGGAGGTTATTCTACCCTGCTCTGCTCAGAGCTTGGGCAGCTCCATGGTCCTGCTGCAGAGGAAACTTAATCCATCCAGCACCTCTTTCTTGGCTGTGGTAACTCATGGCTATGCTGGCAGAGAGCAATTCTGACTCTCCCTTCTCTTCTCAGGCGGCCCTGATCATGCAGGTTCTGCAGCTGACAGCAGACCAGATCGCCATGCTGCCCCCAGAGCAACGGCAAAGCATCCTTATTCTAAAGGAGCAAATCCAGAAATCTACAGGGGCACCCTGACAGATGATGTCCTTAAGCCTGTACCTGCTCCCCTGCAGTGAATCAGAGTGCTGTTCAGTGCAGGGTGGCCCTGCTTTTCTTCTCTATGCTCACTTCCCTCCCCTTCTCACAGGCCTGGCAGGTGTGTGATGGGCAGAGAAGGTGCTCCATGGCAGCCATTTCCTGTTCTTTGAGTTGATGCTTCGTTTAGGGAGAGGTTTCTCCTTGCTACCCAAGGTTTTCCCTCCCAGTTCATTCCTTTTTCTGTGTGTATATTTTATGATGTTTGGAAATAAAGTGGGAGGAGGGTTTGAGTAAAGCCGTGTCTCAGATTGCTGTGTATGGTCCCTCATAGGCAGGAGGACTGCTGGGAACAGCCTAGCCTATCTCTGTCCTAGGGTGAACCTCTCAGGTTCTTCACCATTTTCCCAGCAATACAGGGGCAGGAGCAACTGTTGGGATTTCTTGTTCACTAGGAATGCAGTAGAAGGCACCTTGGGGTGGTGAGCTGAGCAGAGGCAGCACATGGAAGGAGGCACTCACATGGAGGAAGCTGAAATTGTCACCTGGGGAGACAGATGGGCTAACAGGTTTGGGCAGCAAGTGTTGGGACTGAGGACACTCTAGGGGGCTGTTAAGCTCCATGGGTACTCTTTTAGAACCTTCCTGTTGGAATGTGCTGGCTACCAAACAGGTGAACAGGCTGCCCAGGGAAGGTGTCTGGCTGATGACAGCAACCCATGGGCCAGGAGACAGTGGGTGCCCCATGGCGCAGGTCAGCCTGGCTGTCCCCTCCTCTAGGGCATGACAGGGAGCTCAGCTTTCTGTCCCTGTTGACAAGAGCAGAAGGGCTCTGTATCCAATTGCTGTATCGCTTACCTCACCTGCCTGCCCTGGGAGCGTGTTTTTCTCCTCCTCTGTGCATATGCTTGAGCAGAATTTGTTATCTTTGCACTTGAAGTCTGCCTGTGTGCTGGTTTGTGCCTGGTGGTTGGTGCAAACCTGGCTCTTTGGTGCCTGTGAGCCTCTATAGAGAGAGAAGGCTGGCGGGCAGCCAGCCCCACCACCCTACACTTCACCCCTGAGGGTTTATTGCCTTTTTATTGCAGCCCAGTAAAGGGGGGCAAACAGTGGGCTTCCTTCACACCTGCACAGATTGAGACACCACCCATGGCTTTTATTGCAAGGGAAAACAAATTTAATTTACTGTTTTATGGAGAGGGACATTTAAATCTGGAGGGGCGTGTTTAGCTGTTGGTGCCCCGGTGCCACATCTGACCCCACCATCTTGCCCAGCCTGCTGGGCTCCCCTTGCCTCCTGCTGGTCTGCACCTGTGTGCTGCTCCAGTACCATCCCAATGCATGTCTCATGGGGGACTGTGCTGAGAGCTGGGCTCATTTTCCCTCACAGGGACCCTTTGTAGGGTCAAGGAGGCAGCAGTCTGTGAACCCAGAGTTTCTCCTTATGAAGGACGATCTCGCTGTCTCGCCTGGTTCTCATGCACATGCTTTTCAGCTGATGCTCATTCCAGGCATAGTTGTTTCAAAAAGAAGTGGGAGCAGCAGGATGGTTGTTCTCTGCTGCCCGTGGTTCCATCCTGGCTCCCACTTAGAAGTTCTCCTTGTTGAAGTAGAATTTGACCTTTCTGGGGTCCAAGCTGGAGTGCTGGTGACAAGATCTCTGCAAGACCTTTGCCAATGCCTCAGGCCCGCACAGGAACACACCAACCACCGACCTGCATGCAGAGAGGGGCTGTGGGTGTGGGGACCAGGGGATGCCTCCTGGTATCGACACCCCAAGGCCCCTATATCTTACCTGGGGTGGGCTGCGGCCACCGCTGAGAATTCAGTGTCCCACCTGGGCCTTCCAAATATGGTTTTTTGCCTCAGGCCTGTCACTGTGTCCGTGACTGTGTCAAAGTTGAGTGCTGCGTTGTTGGCCTGGGCAGAGCAGAGAGAATGAGGACCATGGCCACCACCAGCCCCCTGCAGCCGTGCCCACCCACAGCCAACTCACAATGCTGGTGTCCCAGCCGGTGAGGAAGAGCCGGTAGGTGAGGAAGTCTGCCTTGCCAGACTCAGCCATCTTTTGCTCCAGTGAGGCAAGCAGGTCATTGAACCAGGCGAAAGCACCTGTGTCTCGGCAGAGCCAGTAGAAGTAGATCTGGGATGCAGTGGCATAGGGAAGAAATATTACTTGAGATGGAGCGGGGGAAGGATGTGATATCAAGCATGGGGAAGCTAAGTGCTTCTGAACATGGAGAAACCCATGGTATGGGATCAGCTGGTCCCATGGGGCTCTCAGTACCTTCTTGGTCTTGAGAGTCTGGTCATTCTGCTGGAACCTGTACCAGATGGACTTCAGGATAGAGGCAAAAGGGGTAACACCAATGCCTGCTCCCACCAGCATGGCCACCTCATACAGGAACACATCTTCGCTGGCCGTGCCAAAGGGGCCATCCACTTCGATCCTGGCCAAGGGAGGGCCTGGGTAAGAAGCATGGCCTCCTCAACCCCTGGGGGGCTTCACTGGGGTTCTCCCCAGGCTACCTGGGAGTTTCCAGCTTTTGCTGCTGGAAGGTGTCAATGATGCGCTCCGTCCAGTCCCCAGCCACCCGGATGTGGATGGAGAAGAAGTCCTCCTCAGGTGCTGAGGTGAGGGTGAAGGGGTGCCACTCCAGCAGGGACACAGCGGGGCAGTTGACAAAGATGTACTGCCCCACTTCCATGTGGAAGCCCTTCTTCTGCATCTGCAGCTCCAGCACTTTAGCAGGATGCATGACCACCTGTGAGGCCAGCAGCAGGGTTCAGTGCCCCACGTGGTCCTGCTGCCTGTGTGGGAGCTACAGCAGCAGCCCCTGCCCTCCTCCATCACAGAATCACAGAATCACCAAGGTTGGAAAAGACATAAAGACCTTCAAGATCATCCAGTCCATCCATCCACCTATCACCAATAGTTCTCACTAAACCAACCATGCAACCACCTCAAACCACCTCACCACCTACCTTGGTGATGACCACCTTCTGCCGCGCACGCCAGATGCGCAGAATCCTCTCGAAGATGTAGAGGATGATGGGAGCCAGAACCCACTTCCAGGACTGTGGGGTGGAAAGGAGCAAGGGGTTGGAGCCTCCCAGGCCATCTGCTCCCCCTTATGGAGTATGCAAGGGCCTGGATTCCTGCAGCCCCACTCCCATCCCTACCTCTGCAGGGATGCTGCCAAACTCAGGCTCCTTGCAGCACTCCTGCCTGCACTCCTTGGGTTTGTGCACCAGGAACTCAGCGCAGCGCTGTGGGTGCACCTCCTTCATGCTCTCCTCTGTCTGCCCACGCACCAATCCGCTGCAGGGAGGAAGGGTAAGCATGGGGCCCCCTCCCACCGAGGACTGCATCCAGGTCATCCTGGAGCAGATGCGGCCACCACAGTGGCAATTTGTAGCCATTGCCCCTTGTTCTGCTGCTCTGGGAGCCTGCAGGAGGAGCCTTACGCGACACCGTGGATGACGAGGCCGATGAAGTAGATGATGAAGAGGTGGTGTGTGTACCAAAAGACCTCAAAGTAGTTCCTGCGGATGAACTCAGTGGAGGATGTGACCATGAGGATGAGAGCCAGAGTGATGATGACCCCGGTCAGCCCTGGGATGGTGGTGAAGGCCACGTACTCGACGGTCTGCAGAGGTGGCAGAAGGACGGGGTCAGGGTGGGCACAGGGCAAGGGGTTGGCAGCGGTGGACCCACGCTCACCGTCTGGTTGGAATGGATGGGGTTCAGCCACTTGTTGCTGTCCCGCAGGTGCATCTTGGAAAGCACAGCATGCAGGCTGCCATCACTGGCCTGCTGGCTGTAGTTGTAGCGCTCCAGGTTGAAGAGATGGGCAATGGTGTGCACGGCTGTGTAGGGGAACAGGCGGTCACCCGCTGTCACCCCACGGGACTCAGGGAGGACAGAGGGTGAGCAGCAGGGTGCTGCTACCTGTGAACAGGGCCAGCGCATAGGCCACCAACTTGTGGAAGGTGAGGTTGTGGTCAAGCTGCTTGCGCAGCGTCCTCCTGCAGCACTGCAAAGAGAGATGGCAGGGTTGGGATGGAGATGGGAGCAGGGATGGGGACAGACATGCTGTGGGACTGCCCACGGTCACTCACCGAGCAGCTCCCGCGCAAGAAGGAGAGCAGATTGCGGCAGACGGGCAGCAGGATCAGCATGCTGTTGAAGTTGAGGCACTTGGCTGATGCCCGGGCCCACGCCAAGGCGGACTGGGGAAATGGAGACAGGGATGGGATGAGAATTGCTGTGGCAGGCACAAGGTGCAGCTGCCTGCAGGCTGAGTGCCCCAGGATGGGATGGGGCCAAGCAATGCTGAGCGGGGACCAAGCAATCTGGGCTGGGGCTGTGGGATGGGTATTGGTATGGAGTGATGCTGGGATGGAAACAAGGCAAGGATTAGGATGGAGCAGAGGTGAACTGGAAGAGGACAGGATAAGGAACAGCTCTGGGGTGCTGCAGCTGCTGCCTTCCCGCAGCCCAGCCAGGAGGCTCCAGGGCAGGCAGGGTGCTGCTGGGAGAACTTTACCCCGAGGATGGCCCTGGTGTAGAAGTACCGCTCGTCCCGGTCGAAGAACAGAAAGTAGTATGTGAAGAGGAAGATATTGATGCCCAGCCAGGCTGCCTGCAGGGGAACCAAGGATTGTGAGGAACTCCAGCCCCAGGACCTCTCATCGTGCAGCACATGGCTGCAGGCACAGATAGAGGGCATCAGCGCAGTGCATCCCATCCCACTCCCTTACTCCTGAGGCATCACGGGTGAGATGGGACACAGGAACAAGGGTGGGAAGGAGTGTTGCAAAATAACTGTCCTGTCACTGCCATCCTTCTGCATGCACAAGGAATGAGGAAAGGAAGATAAAGGAAATATCTGCTGCTGAGAAAGGGAAGGGCCTGGGGCAGATACCGAACCGGAAAGGTCTGGGAGGAGGAAATGCTGCAGGGATGCAGCTGCCAGTCCTCACCATGCTGCCAGCCCTGCAGCACAGCCCCGCTCCCCTACACTGCTCTGCACTGCACTGGAGCTGCATTTTTTGCAGAGTTCCCAAAACCACTCTGCCCTGAGTTCTATTTTTCTTTAACAATTTAAAATATACAAATATCCCAATTTCCTGCACCCATCCCCACATCCCCCGTTTCCCAGACGTTGCAGCCTCCTGCTGTTGCAGCAGTGCTGTGGGTGCTGCAGCTCCTCCGGCACCAAGCAGCTCCATGAGAGGAGAAAACCCGAGTGGGATCCTCCCTGCCTGCAGCAGCAGAGCAGAGCAGTGGCAGTTTCAAGTTTTGCACTTTCCATCCATTGGTTTTGGATGCCGCAGGGAGGGATGAACTGCTTCTCTACTTCACTGTGAGCAATTGGGGATTTTGGACCTTCAGGTTGTGAGTGGGAAGAGGCAGATAGGGTAGAAATAACCCCTGAGCATTGGGGTCCACCTTTCCTTTCAGCCTAGGAGTCCTTACATGAGATCTGCAGCCACCAGCGGGGGCTGTGTCCATTCATTCATACAGAGGAGTTCTTTGTTTCTCCGTGGATGGCAGAACCCGGACAGCTCCCAGTTTCCCCCCAGCCCCTCCAGCCCCCCAGCAGCCTGAGCCCCACGCACTCACAAAGACGGCAGCCGAGAACCAGTGGTTGACCAGCCAGTTGCCCATACTGCGATGTCTCCGTCCGCCCACAGCGAATGCAGCCCGCTGCCGCCCGCCCGCGTTTTATGGAGGCAGCAGCCCCGGGAACGGCCCCGGCCCTGGGAACGGCGCTGCGGGGACTTTCCCCCACGGTGTCTTGGAGGAAATGCCGCAGGGTTTCAAAGGCTCCTTCCAGGAACGCCGGCTGAGCCCGGAGCCGCGGCCCCGACGGCAGGGCGAGGTGCCGGGGAGGCTTGCGAGGGGTCCCACGGGGTCCCACGTGGAGGTGGCACAGCAGGGAGGGGGACGTGGGGGCACGGCCCTGTTTCTCCCCTCCCCTGTAGCATTTGGGGACAGAGCGTGCTTTTTTAAGGCAGGAACTTCCTGGTGGCAGGGAACTGGAGAGGGCTCTGCTTGGCAAACACGACCCTCCCTGGTCTCCCCTGATGACTTTTCACAAGAAAAACTGCAGAAGATGGGAGGCATCCCAGGGCACAGCAGTGCCACTGTGTTGGTGCCAGGAGCCAGCCAGGGCTCAGCACACCAAGGCAGCATGTTCCAGCTGTGCACCCAGTGATGCTGAGCACCCTCAGCAGTGACAGCTCTATAAATGGCTGCTGGGGGATCACACTGCAGCAGGATCATGACACTGCGATGTCCAGCACCACAGCACCCACATCTCATGCCAGCATGGCAGCTGGCACCTGGTGGCCAGAGGAACAAGTTAGGTAAGATCACGCTGTGTCACAACTGGGGTTGCTGCCAGCTGACAGCCAGAGCTGCGCTGGTGGAGCAGCAGGAAGAGGCCCTCAGCCTCCCTGCCCCTTATCGGCTCCATCGCGGGACAAGTGCAAGCCTGCAGCAGCTGGGAGAGATTGGGTTGTGCTGCTGAGCCTGCATTGCAGCCCCCAGCTCAGGGACATAGCTTGGTCCCCTGCCCAGGTGCAGTATGAATGAAGTGTACGTGGGCAGCGTGCACGCATGTTGTTTGACCCCATCCTGGCAGTCCCCACCCACGTGAGTCACTGCTGCCTGCCAGCACCCAGATGCAGAGCCACAGCAAAGTTTCTTTACTGCTCAAAACAGACCCGGAGCAGCATCCCTGGGGTCACAGCAGGGCGGGGACAAAGCTCCCAATGCTGTGTGCCCCACTGGGGTCTGCACACCCCATATGTCCCTTGTGTGTGTGTTCCAGGCGGTTGGCATGCTCTGTCCCCTGACACCATGGGGCCGTACCAGTGCTCAGTGCAGGGCACCAGCACTTACAGTGCAGCCACTACAGCACCGTGGAGACCTCGACATGGCTCATGCCACCACAGCCCCTTGTCCATGTTCCCAGGCTGTGCTTCAGACGATGCTGTGCCTCACACCAGGTTCATGTGGTGCCTCCAGGAGCTCTGCACCATCCAGGGTCCGCCGGCAGCAGACACAGTGCAGGAAATCAGCGACGTTGTGTCGGAAGAGCTGGCGGCACGGATGCAGGTACTGGAAGAAGAGGAGCATGAAGTAGATGGCCAGGCAGTAGCCGAGCAGCAGCTGCACCACCAGCAGCAATGTACAGATGTTCTCATAGACATCAGTCTTAAAGAAGTACCAGAGAACGACCAGTGCCGTGTTCTCCAGCAGCCGGGCCACGTAGTACACAGCCAAGCGGCCCCAGTTCTGTGACTTGTCAATGAGGTCCCGGTCGGCCAACTTGAGCTGCACAGCCGACCAGCAGAACATGTTGATGCTGGCATAGAGCAGGGTGAAGGCAAACAGCACCACCACCGTGCCCACCCGGCTGAAGTTCTTCTCGATGTTGTCGGGCAGCCGCGTGCCACTGCGCCAGAACTGCACCCAGGGCTGGAAGAAGACCACCAGCAGGTTGGCCAAGGCAATGGGGATGATCCAGTGCTTGAAGACGGTGCTGAAGAGCACCAGGACAGCCACACGGGTGGAGATCTCCAGGCTGCGCCACAGCACAATGCAGAGGAAGGCCAGCGGCCGCAGCTGCACCTTGTAGTCATCGTACTTGACCTGGATGGCCAGGACATTGCAGACAAGCGCCCCATAGGTGACCGACACCAGGCAGATGCCCATGAGGATGGCTGTGGGAGGAGAGGTCAGGGGGTCAGACAGTGCTGGGAGCAGCACAGGGATTTCCTCAATCTGCTAATCAATCTTTTCCTCTTTTCCCAGCTGTGTTTGTACCTGGTTGTACAAGCAGCAAGAAATGCTGCCCCTGTGCATAGGAACAGTGTTTATGTGGGCAGGGCACCACGTGGTTACATGGGTCCATGGAGCAAGCACCTGAGCTGGGAGCATCTCGGTCCCAGCCAGCTCCTCCCAACCCTCTGCAGCTTTACAGTGGGTTGGAAAGCATGGGCAAAGCAAACCAGGGGATGGGCAGGTGCCTAAATTCTATGGATTGTACTCTACGTTCAGGGAGGGCAAGGGGCGGCAGGGCCAGACGGGGCATATTTTTAGAGTCCCATCTGGATGCCACACCACTGTGTGCAATTGAGGAATTCTCCCATACCCTCAAGATACCACCATGCCCTGATGTTCCACCAAACCTCTGAGGTTCCACCACATCCCTGAGATGCCACCATGCCCCGCACATCCATGGCAGAGCTTTTGCGCCCAGCACACAGCCCATCCCTTACCTCGTGCAATGGGGACATACTTCTCCAGGATGCTGATGTAGAGCTGCAGGGTGAGCTGTGGGGTGGAGCCCAGGAAGGCCTGGATGACAGCCATGCGTTTGAAGGCGTTGCGGTGGGTGGCCAGCCGGCGCACCGAATGGCCCACCTCCTGCTCCAGCTCCACTTCATAGCCCTTGCGCAGCCGCCGCTTGCGTGTGATGGTGACGTAGGGCTCCTCTTCCTGTCCCGACCAGCAGTACACCACCAGGGCCTCCACACACCTGTGGGCACATGGCAACTGTCACCCCAATGCACCCTGATCCACTGCAGAGCTTGGCTCCAGCATAGGGCCAGCAGCAAGGGTGGTGCAGTGCAGCTGGTATAAGAGCAGTAGCTCCATTGGCAGCTAGAGGAAGGGTGTAAGCACCCCAGGCTCTGTTTTCCCACTGTTGAGCACCCCAGTACAGCATGAGAAATTTTCTGCTGTTGTGTTTGATCTCAAAAACCTTCTACACTTCCTCCTCAGTTGGAGCAGCAGGAAGTAGAGAGTGGGGTGGAAGCTGATGTCTGATGGAGCAGATAACACGGCTTCCTGAGCGCGTCCCCTCAGCACCCTGCAGCTCCAGAGAGGGCGGCCACCTCCACTGCCTCCTACTGCCTCCTGATACCACTCAGCACAGCAGCTTTCATCCAGCCCCTCCATTCGCACAGCTTCTCCAGCCCTGCTGGCCTCGCTGTCCCACCAGCAGTGCACGCAGACCAGGCACAGCCATGGTTCCCTGTGGGCTGGGCTGGCTCGAGGGCCAGCAGGAGGTAATTGTCTGTGAGCGCTGATGGGGAAAACAGCCACTGCTCTGCTTCAAACCCAAATGGAATGAAGGTTTGGGAAGTGATTCTTTTGCCAGATCAGTGCTCACGGCCTATTCCAAACTAATGGGAAAATGATTTCATCCCAGCACCTGGCTCCAAAGGTAATCAATGTGCACAGTGCCCCACCAGCCTTCCCCAGCAGGCTGAGCTCGCTCTGCAGCCCCAGAGCTGACACAGCATCCCCCAGCAGCAGAGCATGGCCCTTGCAAGCCCCGAACCCCATCCCAGCAGCTACTGGTGGCAGTGCTCAGTGCAATGGGCCAGCCACTGTAATCCAGCATAGCTGCCCTCTGGGCCAGGCGCTGGGTGAGCCGTGGGACCGGCACGACATTCCCCTCATGCACAGCAATGACAGCAGCCAGGGAGGCACGGCAGCATTCCCCAGGAGTGAGAACAGCACCTCTTCAGCTTGTGCAACATCCACCTTCGTCCTCCTGTCCCCACTGGGGTGTGGCAGCCCCCAGTCCCTCTCCTCTGCACACACAGCCCAACATCCCTAGACCACAGACCCCTTCACCCACTCCAGCACGGATTTGCATCTCAGCCCCCAACAATGCAATGGCAAGACTCACAGCGAGAGGAATGCTGACTCCACAAAGCAGCCGCATGAAGAGCACATTTGGCAGCAGGCACGCAACAGGCTGAGAGCCCGGGGGAGTCCTGCAGGCAGCGGGGAGAGGAGCGAGGCGCGCAGGGGCTGCGCTGCGGAAAGCGCTGCTGACAGCGGTGCGCCGCGCTCCGCCCTGCCCGGTCCTGCCGGGGAGCCGAAACAAACCGAGCCGTGCCGTGCAGAGCCGTGTGGTGCAGAGCAGTGCCCGGGTCCCCGCCGCGCTCACCTGATGACGGGCCCCAGCTGCAGCAGGTGCATGAGCAGGACGAGCGGTCGGTCGCGGCTGAGGTCGCGATGCACGAAGATAAGGGTGAGCTGCACCAGGACGGAGGGGCAGAGCACGAAAAAGATGGTGAGCGCCAGCCAGAAGCGGTCGTCGGAGTGGCTGTAGGAGAAGCAGAGGACGGCGGCCGCCGCGCTCTCCCCGCAGAACAGCGCCGTCGAGAAGACGATGCCGAGCGGCAGCTTCGCCCTCGACGGGGCGGCGGCGGGCGGCTGCCCCTCTCCCGGGCCGTCCATCGCGGCCCCGGCGCCGCTCAGCCCCGCCGCGCCATCATCCCGAGCTGCAGGGGAGAGAGAGGAGCGCTGCGGGAGGGGCGCGGGGCGCTGCGGAGCGCCGAACCCCGCACGGCGCCCCGACGGGCGGCAGCTGCCTCCGCACCGTGCCCCGAGCGCCGTGGTGGGGGGGCGGGCCGCGTGCAGGCTGAGCTCCCGGGCCCGCCCCGGCGGGGAGTGGGAGGGACACTCTCCGGTAGCGGACCCTCCTCCTGGGGACCCCCCGTTACGCTGCCGGGTACACCTCTGAGAATCCCTCCCCCTTCACCAGCTCTGAGTATCGTGGCTCTCTCCCGACCAGACCCACCCCCCTCCACCAAGGCCCCGGAATGCAGCAGCAGGGGGGGTCCCCAAAGGCAGAAGTGCCAGCAAGGAGGGCAACCCTGCCCCATAGCCAGGGGCACCCCATGGGTGGCTGGGAGGGACCGTACGTGGGTTGGTTATGATGGAGGAGATACGGTTCCTGCAAGCAACCAAGTGGGAGGCGATGAAGTTCACAGATAGCAGGGTGCTATTCAGAGGGATGGAGAAGTGTAAGGCTGGCTGGATTACCTGACACTGGTGGTCACGGAGCAGCCAATGCTGGGCCGGCGCTCTGCCCGCCCCCCGTGTACCACGGTGTGAGCAGAGACAGCCACTGGTGCTCGCAAGCTGGCTCCCCAGCCATGCACTGCCTGCCAGATTACTCAATCTGGGCACACGGCGGCTGGCTGGGACAGACATGACGAGGCACAGAGCGCTTGATGTCGGCCAGTTCTCCCAACTTCAGACAGACCAGAAAGCCTCCGGTGGCTTGTGAAAGGCACTGGGTATCCATCCCTCAGCGGGGATGCAGTGTCCATCGCCTGCCCTAATCCTAACCCCCTTCATAGCACACCTCAAAGCGTGAAACTCCACAGACCCCACAAGTGAGGTCTGCCCCTGTTCTACAGAGACAAGAGCACTGCCAGGGTTATTGGGTGATGGTGCAGCGCGGCGCTGCCAACTGCGCCCACACCTCGTGTTTGCAGCAGGAGCGATGCGCAATTGAAATCATTTATGCAACCTCCATTTATCCAAATTAAAAGCATCCCCCAGGAGCCTGGCAGGTCACCAAGCCCTTGGCTGAGCAATGCCTGGGCCCAGAGTCATCATATTTTTAATTTTGTCTTCCCCTGTTTCGTGATGAAATATTTAAGAGCAATTGTTTAAGAAGACAAGAATGCCAATCCTCTGTCTGGTAGACCGGCACCGTCAGAGGAACGGATGGACGAAGCCTCACGGCGCTCCCCACACCAATCATTATTCCATTCTCTGACCCATGTGTGGGGAGGCAGAGGAGTGTTTGCTGCTGCACACCGTGAGTCACCCCGTGAGCTGCACTACCTGCCGAGCTCAGTGCTGTAAACAGACCATAAAAGTGATGTCTGCAGAGTCAGAGGGTGACCTGCTGGTGCCTCTCCCAGTGCCTGCATTAATGCCTCTGCAACCCTGGGACCAGGCCTTTGGGCTGCTGCAGCCACACCCTGCCCTTGTCCTCTGCAACCGCCTCTCCCAACACCCAGGGGTGTCCGAGGCAATGTCTCCAAGTCCTAGAAAATGTCACTTTCCTGTTTTCAGTGACTTTTCCAGGAGAATAACCTGACCTCATGATGTTCTTAATCCTAGATTTCATTATTTTGTTAATCCCACAATGTGCTGTGAACGCAGGGATGGAGCAACAGTGCCCACCAGCCATGTGAAATTTGGGATTGTGCAGCTGCTCCCTGCACGTGGCTGAGGGAGGGCACTTGTGCAGCAGCCAGGCTATAGATAGTGGTGGGAGCAGCCTCCTGCAGGGCTCCAGCCCTGAAAATAGGCACAGCTCCCTGACACACGCCTGTCCAGCAGCTCTGCTGCTCTAAAAGGAGAGCAGGAAGAAGCTGGGGCTGTCAGGGAACAGTGTGCAGGAGCCCTTAAAGAGCCCACCCAGATGCAGGAGAGCTGCTCACACGCTCCCAGCGTGTTTTCTCTCCTTTCCTCCCTGCCATCGCACTAGGACCCTGGGACACACTGCTTCCCAAGCTGGGACACGCCAAGCTGCTGGATTCCCAAATATAGCCCTGAGCACAGCAGCAAGACAGCTGCTCCCCACCGCTGCCCTTCCGGATCACCAACCTCAGTAGTGCTCCTCAGTTTGCACAAAGAAACAAACCCCCATCCAGTGCTGCGCAGAGCATCGGGTACGTGGCTCCCAGCAGCCCCACGTACTGAATGCAGTTCCCCAGCATCTCCCAGCCATGTGCTGCAAGCAGGAGCAGCGACCCGTGTGTGCTCCCTGCCCTCACAGCAGCCACAGCCAGCAGCTGGTGGGGCTCGGAGGAATTTGGAGCCAGGAACTTTTTACTTAGTTTGGAAATAGCTTTGCAAATGACTTGCTTTCCCATCTTAAACTGTTTGGATTCTGCAGTGCGTTCTCAATAACAGCTGTAATTTTTTTTCTGCCCCGTCAGTCTGTGGAATAGTTTCTGGTTGAGAAAACATTTTTTTTTTTCCATTTGCTTTGCAGTTTCATGCAACCGCTTTTGCTGCTCTTTTTCCTCCCACAGCCTCACTCTCCTGCAGGGAGAAAACTGGGGTCTGCCTCAGGTCTGACTGCAGCCCAGGGCACTGCATGGAGCTGAGTGAGCACAGACAGGGTCTCACTGCAGACCAGAGAGAGCATTGCTTCCACAAGAAAATGGAGCTGCCTGCTTTGGATACTTGCACATTTTGAAAGCATGGCCCTCCAGTTGCAGTCCCACCAGGTGATGCTGAAACAAAAAAACAGGACTTAAAGCTCCTTCTAATTGAGCGATTCCCCTGGTCCCAGCAGGCACATGGTGCATGGCAAGCAGGAGGGATGCTCAGTGCTCAGCTCCTTTCCCCCACACCCACAGCCCTGAGCAGAACCACAGTGGGACACGGGCAGCACGGGGCACTGCCCATCTACATGCCCAGCTCTGTGCGTGGTACAGGAGTGAGCTGTCAGCTTCCCCTTGCAGAAGGAACAAGAAAACTGAGCAAAGCCGTGTTCAGCTGGCGTTCGCCATGCCCAGCCTGTTTGGGGCACACTTTTGTTAGTGCAGTGCAGAAAGGTGCTTATCTCCCTGCTCTGATAGCAGCCTCCCCGCTTCCGCGTTCACCGTGGGGCTCAGCTGTGCCATCTGGGGGGGGCAGAGAGTGCTCCACAAAAATGGCTGCCCTGCCCAAAATAGCCACTGGCTCACCACGCTCTGTTAGCAAACGTTGCACGGTCCTGGCTCACCGACAACAGGTTTCCCTGCGTGGGCAGCAATTACCTGCAGCTGCAGCCGGGCTGTGGGGCGCTGGGGTGTAATTAGCTGCTGGGATTTGCAAGCCCGTGTGATCGGGTTTAGTGTCAGCCAGCAGAGCCATGCCGGGATTTAAAGGGACGATGCAGGCCTTTGCATGTGGGCCTGCTGCTGTAAGGGGGTTGCTGCCGTTGGCTGATGGGCTCGCAGCATGGCATGTCTCTCCTCTGAGCTGCATGTCACTGCCCTGCATGGTGGGTGTGCCTTTGGGGCAGGCTCTGAGGCAACGTGGTCCCTAGCAGAGCAGGACAGCTTGCAGGCATTGCTGCTGGCACCCTGGGGTCCTGGCTCTTATTTCCTTATTACAGCCACCCTACCTCTGTGCTCTTATCAGCACTGCCCAGTGCTTTCCCTGCAAGCTGTCACTTGCTGTGTCCCGGCATCCCCAGCACTGTCACTGCTGCTCCCCCATGCTACACCTCCCCAGGGTCCCAGCATTGTCCCAATGTGCCCGCAGTCACTCGGTGCATACTCACGGGGTCCATGAAGCCGTGACAGCACAGCCCGTGTCCCTCCACACTTCTCCGTGGTCTCTGTAGTGTCACCTCCTTCCCTTGCCTGCTGCTCTCCAATGGGCAGAAATAGCCCCACGCCACGTGCTGCCCTGCAGGCAGTGATCCCAGAGGCCACACAGCCCCAGCACCCTGTGCACAGCTTGCCCTCGGGGACCCCACTGTCGCCACTGTCACTGCTCCCAGCGAGGTGTCTGGCCGAGCACAGTGCCAGCTCTGGGTCCAGTAACAGCCCCAGTGAGGAACATCTCCCGTTCTCCAAGATAAGAAATTCTGCCTTAGAGTTTCTCACCTGGCAACAGTCACCAAGGAAACTCGGACGGCTCCCAAGGGTCCCCTGTTGGCACTGCCGAGGGGTGTCCCTGTGCTGTAGGACGTGCAGGGAGAGGGGACACGTGTGTCCCTGGGCCGCCTGCTGCGGGCACCCTGCCAGCCCTGTAACCTGAGCCACTGCCACACCACGTCCCAGGTGGAGCAGAACGCCCATTGCTCAGGGCTCGGCCCTTTCCCAGCACCCGCAGGTTTCACTGGGCTCTGGGGTGCATTTTTGAGGTTTTTCTGGAGGTGTGCACATCAGGAGGGGTGTCCTCCATGCCTTGGGTGCATGGGGGTTGCTACCTCCAGTGTGTCCATGTGATATGGGCGCAGCTCCTTCTGCAAAGGGCTTCGCCATGTCATGTTCTTGCGGGGGCCTGTGATACTGGAGGGACCACTGACACAGTCACAGCACCCCCAGGCTGGGGGACAGCAGGAGACAGGGGCACAGCCACCGCTGGGCCTGGGAAGTGGGTCAGGGCTGCACCCATGCATGTAGGAGGAGGTGATGAGCACACATGCGAGGCAGTGAGGGTGTGGATGTCAGGAGGCAGGCTGCTTGCTGGCAGCCAGAAATGAGATTCTAATGCTCATTTAATCGGTGTTTGTGACAGCTCTGGGTGCCACCTGCTCACCTCAGCCAGGCTGGGGTGCTGCCAGAGAGATGGAGCATGCAGGCACACCATTGCCCTGAATACTGCTGTTGGCTGTGCCTGGCCACAGTGACTACGGAAACTTCCTCTGTCAATCATTAATCCTGTGAGCTCTCTGCCCACATGGGCCGTTGACCTGGGGCCTGGCATTGCCCCACCCTCATGTCTCAGTGTGTTGTGCCCCACTGCAGGGTTTTCCGGGGAAAGCCATGCTAGTGCCCCAGTGTGTGAGTGCTATGGGATGCTTGGCATCACCTCTGCAACCCCAGCTCACTTTGGTATAGCTGCTGTATGGCTGCTGGTGCTGAGAAATGAAGCGTGGATCCCACCTGCAGCCTATACTTCCTGGCATGGTTTTTGGCAGATCTCATGTCCTCATCCCTCTGGATTCCATGTTCTGCACTGAGCTGCTATGGTTCACACCCCCCTGTCCAGCCTCTCTCTGCCTGCAGCGAACCAGCCATGGCTGTGGGAAGCAACAGGAAACACAAGGAGCCAGATAAGCACTGGGGGGCTGCAGATCAAGGAGCTGAAGCTTGGTCCTCTCCCTCCCCACTGTCACTATTGTCCAGCCCTGAGTCATCCTCACCCAGACTCCATCTGCTTCAGGCAACAAACTCACATGGAGGTGCACAGGCATCTACGGGGCCAGGAGCAGCCATGGGTGTGCAGAGCAGCCTGGTACCTCCAGTAGAACACTGGGTGCTTCTCACAGCCCCCCCACCTCCCTGCTCCCAGCCAAGCATTGCCCAGCTGTGTGCTGATTCTGCTCTGGAAGCCTCCAAACTATTACGAAGGAACAGCATGCAGCAGCCTGGGCTGACCTGTGTGGATTAGGGAGGCTGCAGGGAATAAATCACGTAAATCCAGATTAGGTTTAAGCAGGTGCTACGCAAAGGAGATGCAAGGGGAGTGAGTTTGTGGTGTGAGTGGAGGCACAGAGCACAGGGCCACGCCGGGCCGCTGGGTTTGAGGGCGCCCACAGCACAGCGCAGAGCATGTTCCACCTCTTCTCACACTGCTGGACCTGGCTGCAGGCCGTGCAGGAGCCCGTCAGGTAAATCCATGCTGCTTTCAGCTGAGGGACACCGGGGTGCTGCACCGGGGCTCCCCAAGTTGTAGGGCAAGGGACACAGTGCCATGGAGCTGGGTTTTAAAGCCCTTGGGAGGAGCACTGCAGGTGGGTGATGTTTGCAATGTGGGGGTTTATGGTTCCATCCCAGCAGTGTCAATGTGGTGCTGCAGTGCTGGAGGTGGAGCTCACTGCCCACGCAGGCTCTTGTTTGTGTTTAAGGTGAAAATGACTCATGTTGTTGACATGTAAACCAAAGAGGAAATGCTCAGATGATGGAGTGTGTTACTGCAGACCAAACATGACTGTTGAGGAACAGGAAAAATCTCTTGGGTCTGGGCTGATAGAATGTCCCTGCTATCTCTGGTTTAGCTACAATGCGGAAAAGCACTAAGAAAAATCATTAACTGCTCCAGTATAAGTAACAATGTTTTTGCCCTGTGTGTACCATTGCCCAACCCCATATGACGGGAAACTGTTGCTGTTAAAGTGCCAGGATGCTCCAGGTGCTGGCGCTGGTAGCTCTGCCCTCACCCTCTCCCCAGGCACCATCCTGCCGCTCTCCTGGCCAAAGTAAAGCTGTTCCCTCACCCAGAGGCCCCAGAGCTGGCAGCCAGCATTATAGCTGAGGACAGTGGCTCAGATGGAGCCCTGATGCTCAGTACTTGGTGTTGCCCCCAGGAAAGTGACCCTGCTCGTCATGGGGCTGGACAGCTCAGGGAAGAGCTCCGTCATCATGGACATCATGAGAGGTGGGGAGGATGGCCTTCTCTGGGGAGGGTCCCACAGGGAGCGTGATGCTTGCTTGTGCCTAGTGTGCTTGTGAGCTGCAGCAGGCGATGCAATGCCCAGGATCCCAGCAGCAGTGCCTCACAAATCCCTCTCGGCTGGGCTGTGCCAGTTGTGTTCCATGAAATAAAGAAATCAGCTTGCTGCTCTGGGGAATAGAGTGTTGGCTGGGCCTTGGGGATCCTGCAAGTCGGGGGGGGGATGTGGCCAGGAGGAGGGATGTATGCATGGAAGGAGTGCTCTCACACCACAGCCCTCTCCCCACACACAGCTCTGGCCAGCGAGGTGCTGCCTGCAGCACAGCCCGGCCAGACCCGCCTGCGGGTGAACAGGTTTGAGGTGACACTGGTGGAGCTGCCCGGAGCTCAGCGCTGCCGCAGTGCCTGGCGCAGCCACTACAGTGCAGCCGACGGGCTGCTCTTCGTGCTGGACTCCAGCGACCTGGCACGGATGGAGGAGGCCCGCAAGGCTCTGAGCCGTGTCCTGAGTCACCCCGATGTCTCCGGAAAGCCTCTTTTGCTGTAAGGCTGTAGTGTTTGGGGTTGTGGGGAGGAGTGGGAGCCCCAGCAGTGATGGGGAGCATGTAGTGAGATGGCTCCAGGACTGACCACCTCTCCCTATGCCTCAGCCTGGCCAACAAGCAGGATGTGGCAGCTGCCCTGCTGCCCTGTGAGCTGATCGAGCGCCTGGCACTGCAGCGGCTCGTCAACGAGAACCACTCGCCCTGCCGCATTGTGAGTGCAGGGCTGCCCCAAGCCCACATCCCCTCCGTGTGCATCCAGGGGCTGTGGGGGCTGACCGAACACCTCCACCTCCAGGAGCCATGTGCAGCTGTGGGCCCAGCCCGCAGCACACTGCAAGGACTGCGCTGGCTCCTGCGTGCTGCTGCTGAGCACTCCTTGCAGCTCCCCACTGCCTGCTCCCCATCACCTGACCCTGGACCTGGAGCAGCCCGTGGCCGCCCACATGCACGCAGGTGGGTGTGCAGCTCCATGGGTGCCATTCTCCTATCTGCATGGAGTTCATCCTAACCCCAGCTGTGCTCTCACTCCATCAGGGACCCCCTGGCCCAAAGGGAAGATGAATCTTGCAGTGCAGAGAAGATAAAGGAGCCCCAGCCCACCCGCCACCTCCTCTCCCCCAATCTCCAGGTGAGATTCCCCCAGCCGCAGCAGGCAGCAGAAGATGGAGAAGCTCCCATCACCTCTCCCCCTCTTCTCCCTGTCCAGAAGGTGAGCACAAATGGCCCTGGGAAGAGGAAAAAGAAGGTGAAGGTGAGGAAGAAGGGCACAGGGCAGCTGAGCCCAGCTGAAGAACCAGAAGGAGAAGCAGCAGGAGGGGCTGATGGCCGAGCCAGCACTGCTGGGGGGTTGCTGGCCCCTAATAGGGTCAGGCAGGAGGAACCTGTGCCTGTTGGGACAGCTGCCCCCCACTCAGGTGAGAGGAGGCTATGGGAGCTGCTGACACTACCTACTCAGGCACCTCAGGATCCCCAAAGCCAACCCGAGGGGCTGTGGGGACCCATACACATGGTGCTGTGCTGGATCAGCAGTCCCTGGGATCTTCCTTAGCTCTGCTTGCAGGTCAGCTGGGGTGCAGAACGCGTGTCATCAGTCTGGATGGGAATGAGGAGAGACATGTCTGATGCACAGAGGTGATGGAGGGCTGCAGACCTGCCAGCAGCAGTCCTCCCAGCTGGATTGGTGACACCGGCACCCTTGACCAAAGGTGATGTCTGAAATTTTGTATTTCTCTATCCAGCACAGGGCATGAAAAAGAAAAAGAAGAAAAAAATCAAGAATAAAATCAAATCACAGGAGCCTGTCATGGAGCAGCAGCAGGAGGAGGTCTCAAGTACCTTTGGTTGGTATTTCCCAGGATTAACTTTGCCCAAGAGCATCAAGGGATCCCGTTCTGTCTGTTCAGCAGGGTTTGAGCTGCTTGGGAGCACTTGGGCATATAGTGCCTGGTGAGGGGGCACAGGTACAGGCAGGGCAAAATGGGGGGGATGTGGGTGCTGTGGTTGCTGCCTTCAGGTAGGATGCAGCCAGGGAGCCCAAGTGCACAGTGCCAGGCTCAGCCTCTGGTTAGTGCCTGATTCCCTTTGTTCCCTAGATCTGTACCGCCGGGCGATGCTGGCTCTGAAGATGCGGCAGGAGCAGAGGAAGCAGCCGTCTGCCATCGCCCCCTGAGCAGGACAGGCGAGTCCTAGAGCATGCATGGTCTCGCAGCTCGTGCAGGGCTCCTGGGCTGTTTGGCCAGGGCTGGCAGTCCTGGGGCAGGAACAGCAGCACTGTTGTCCTCTGCGTGACTTGAAAATCAGGATCTGCAAGAGCAAGCCAGAAGTCCCGTTGTAAAAAGCCTTTTTGGCAGCCGGGTTGCAAACAGCCTGAAAAGGAAACAGACGGCACTTTCTGACCCTGTGTTAATATTCTGTGTAAGACTTGCCCTGAACCCTGCTGAGTCTGTAGAAGAAAGAGGAAGCTCGGAGCAAATATCCCATGGGAAAAGCCCATTTCTTGAACACATAAACCCCGGTGAAGCTGTGTTTGTGGGTCAAGGGCTAACTCAGCCACTCATCCAGCCCCTACCTGCTGCCTGGACACGCTGAGCTTCCAGCTGGTGAGGTCAGATGAGCAGAGCAATGCCCAGCTCCAGCCTGAGCCAGGGCACAGAGCAGCATCTGCATCCCGACACAACCATCTGCATCTAACACAACCCATCCATAGCTACCAATTCCTGGGCACTGCCTGCCCTGTGCACGGCAAGAAAAACCACTAAACCCTCAGCTGGGCTAAAAAGGGGAAAAGAACAACTCTGGCTACTCCGCCTTGCTGGTGTGCTGTGAAATTATTAGATTCGATTGCCAGTGCCTATAGTGATGAACTGCCGCAGCTTAAGCCCAGCCTGTGCTTGCAGTAAGCCTGTCCCTCTGCCCAGCCGGCGTGGGCACAAGACGAGGGCTGGGGTCGGGAGGGCCGGCAGCTCCCCCTGCTGCCCCGGGTGTGCAGGGAAATCAAACAATAAATGCAGTACAACCCTCTTCTATCCTCTTTTTTCTTCTTCTTCTTCTTCTACTTTTCCTTTTTTCTTTTTCTTTTTTTCCTACTCCCCCTTCTGCATGAAGATGTGCAGCTTTTTGAAAAAGAAAGAAACCCTCTACTGCTGCCATGTATACCAGAAGTAGGCCAGTGAAAAGAGGCCAAAGACAAAACCGGCCCTGCTGGTGTTACTGGGCAGCTACCTGAAACTTCCCACAGGAGGGTGGCAGGGTGCTGGCACAGGCTGCCCCGTGGTTGTGCCTCCGAGCTGATGGAGCGCAAGGAGCACTTGGACAATTGGTTGTAGGGTTTAATTTTGGGTGCTCCTGTGTGGAGATGGGTAGTGACAGCTCAGTATATCTCAGAACCAGCGTGTCAGTGGCTGCAGAGCAGCTAATCCCACAAGCCAGCAGACAAGTCTGACCTGTGCTAACTGAGGATATGACTTTTCTCTTCTTTAGAAGTTAAGCAGAAAGAGCTCTATGTTAAAAACACTCTATCTCAGAATCAGATAATACTCAGAAGTGAGACCCTGAAAGACTATTTGATCAACCCCCCAACAGATAAACCCAAATGTATTAGTTAATAGCTGCTCTGAGCCACCAAGTAACGGGCTGGACTGCTCCTGCAGCATGTGAGAAGCAGCTGCTGTAACAGGAGCACGTAGTGAGACGTGCAGAGATGTACACAGAGCTTTTTCCATCATTCTCCTCCTCCTTTTCATGTTACAGACCCCGACCAGCTGAATAAATGGCAAAGGGAGGGATGCTTTGGAAGGTGTGCTCAGTGGCACTGCCTGCTGAAAGGCAAAGAAACAGAGGCTGCCCTTGTCTGAGCTTTGCAACAATTGGTGGTGGTTTGTACCGCAGCAGGAGGTGAGATGTTTCAGTGAGTGCTTGTGGGAAAGGCAACATTGAGAGCTGGTTTGTCTCGTGGGTGTGGATAGGACAGGAGGCCCTCCTATAGTGGGAGGATGTGTGAGAATCACTCCTGATGTACATCTGCAACTGTATTTTATAAATAAAAACTTAATTGTCTAGTTTTTCCCCTACGTGAGCCTTTCCAAGGCTGTACAAACAGAACAGCATACAAAGCAGTGGTCTCAGCATCACTTCCATCTTTCACATCCAGAGACCCTCCTTAACTCCAAGTGGCAGATGAACAAACCAGAAGATGACTGATGAGAAAACCTCCCAGGCACTCAATCTGGAGCCTGTTTTAGTGTTGCAAAAACAATGAAGAGCAAGTGTGACTGATTGTAGCTAATGAGTTCTTTGCCAGGTGAATGTCTGGGATCCCATCTCACAGCACATGGCCAGCTATGGTTTGTAGGGTGCACGTGGAGAGAGGACAAGCACTGGGGTTTCCTGGGAACGTAGGCTGGGAGCTGCTGGATGGTGGAGACCCTGCCTATATAGCTGCCTTCTTCCTGAGCTGGACTAAAGGTCAAAAATAAGAATATAACTTAAGAAAGAAAATCCTGCTCTAGAGCTGCTGTGCTGATGAAGACTTGGCCAGCCCCTATATGATGGCCTGGTTTTGGTTGACTTAGTAATTCCTTGGGATGTGGCTATGTGTATCACAGACATAGGTAAGGCTGTGGCTTTTCCTCAAGATGTTCTGTGGAAGAAAGTGATTTGCTATGTGTATGCATCTAAACACGCACAAGTAAGTAAGGTGAATGGATGTGAAACATCAGAATTGGGTGGATAAAAGCCCAGAGTAGGAGTGGTTTAGGGCTTGAGATGTTGTAAGTAAAGAAAACTTCCTTCCACTTGGAGTTCTTGCCCTCTGACTGTCAGGCTGGGTGCCAGCCTGCTATTCTGACCGCTTCTGGCTCAGTCATAAAAAGGAACTGTGGGGAAATGCTACTTTTTTTTTTTGTCCCCTCCTTTCCCCTGAGTGAGCTTACCAGGGCCCATTTCCATGAGCTCATTCAGTATATTGAGCTGAGACATGCTGGCGTGCAGCACGGGGCAGCCCATCAATCCCCTCCGTGGTTCTCAATGGCTGTGGGCGGTGCTGTGCCTGGAACTGAATGGCAAACAGCCTCACACAGTGCTGTGTGAGAGCTTCTGCTGCTGGTTCCTCCGTTGTGTTACATTAAAAATGAGAGTTAGCTTGTTTGCTGTCATGTACTCTGCAGCATTGTTAGGGAAGAAAAGAGATTTAATTAGATGAGAGTAACTCCCTGAGCTTCCCCTGGTTGTTATGAAAGAGGCTATTAAAACTTTGCAGGGAAAGGGAAGGTAATTAGGACTGGAAATCTAGAAAATATGGAAACTTTCTCTTTCTAAGTTGAATGAGTGTCGTTGGAGACATTACTGCTGGCCAGGGGAGGAAGGAAACAATGAAATTTATTTAATGGGCGTATTTGTTTTGAGGCACAAAGGGGTGTGTAAGAGCCTGAGATGCACAGATTTGTTACACCATGTACCAAATATACTCCATGTTTTTTCCTCTAATAAAAAGCTTTTCTTGCTTTTTTAAAAAAGGGAAATTCTGTTAACTAAAACTTTCTACTTCATAAATAATCACTGTAAGTCACTGAGTATTTGAATATGTTATTTCAGTCTATGAGGAAAATGTCTCTTGAGGAAGCCTATCAATGTATTAATTAGAAGGGTTTGGGGTATAGAATACTGCTGGATATGGGATCAAGAGCTAATTCATTAACTAAAATTCATTTTAGACTTCTGAAGCTCATGTTTTGTCTGTGGAAGAACTTACACCTTATTAAACTGCGTTTATATTTCAGCACAGATGGGTTTAGCAAGCTAGCACGGATCCTGCCCTGCAGCTGATGATGTAGATAATTCTTGCTGCCCAACCTGTGCTCTATGACTTTCCAACCCATCTTCTGTGTGCAGCACAGCTGAGGTTTTGGGGCTGATTTTTGCAGGCCTTCAATGTTTTGATTTGTTTACTCTGCCAGGCTTCATAGTTTGCAAGGTACAGCTGCCAGGTACAGTTTGCAAAGGCTTGCAACTACCAGCACCTGAACTCTGTGTTCTGGCAGGGAAGGCTGCTGGTGGAGAGATGAACTGATTTGAAATGGACTTTGAGAGAAGGGAGGGGGAAAGGAAAAAAAAAAGCATGTGTAAATCTCCTTGCTCAACTGACACTGCAGCATGCATGCTGCTGCTGAGTCAACTCAGTACAGTGCAGTACAGACTGAACTGGCTGCTTCCTTCCCTTTTTCCAGGAAGGTTGCAGAAAGCCCAGCCCATGGCAGCCCTGCTCCCCAAAGCACTCCCTGCTGCTCTGCGGGTGAGCTTTTCGTATTGTCTTTCCCAGATGGGAGATGACATCAATAGGTCACAGGGCAGAAAGAATGGCTTTGAGAGCTGGTAGGTGCTGTGGCGGTTGGCAGTGAGCACACCCGGCTCATACAAGCAGCTTCCCAAGCTGCAAGTCGATCACAGGGCTGTGCCCTGTTGGTAAATGAGCGCTTAACTGGGTCTGCATGTGTTTGTTAACCTGCAGGCCATCCCAGCGTTCAAGGTTAATTTGCAGCAGCACCCATCAGGAGGTAGGATGGGCTTTGCAGAGAAGCTGAGCGGTGCATCTCCACCGGCTTCACACTCCACGGGCATAAAATCCATAACGCAGCCCGAACGTGGCACTTTACTTAAGGCAGCTCATCCCCTGCATGGCCGCGCGGTGGCAGAAGAAGCAAAGGACGTTGCAAAGAAACATTGAGAGCAGCAAGGAGGGCTGGCCGCCCCTCCGAGAGAGAGCGAGGGCAGCTTGCTTAAACGGGAATCCCTTCGGACAGGGGCTGCCGGCACAGGCGCTGGATGCCGCAGGCTGCTTCATGGCGTGAAGCGTAGCGGGGTGTTGTGCATCCACTGTACGGGAATGGCCACGTGCTGAGACTGCAGTTTTGCTGCTCCTGTCGCTGGTCCCAAAGGCTGGTGGCTCCCTGGGTGTCACTGATCTGCTCAGCACCTGGTGCAGTGATGCCGGAGTGCAACAAGCGCTGCTTTCTGTTGGCACAGCCCGGCCTGGAGCCCACCGTGTGATACCGAGTGCTCCGTGCTGAGCAGGAGGGAAGTTCAGAGCTAATTAGGTGTTACGTTCAGGTGTTTAACAATCCCCATTCATTATTTACAGCGTTTTGTTGTTGTTGTTTTTTTTTTTTTTCATCTGCCTCGCATTGTTTTCTTGTTTCCTTTGTTGTGGTTGTGCTTTTGTGTGGAAGGCAACAGCGCAGCTGCACCCGGGATAATGGAAAGGTGCCTCCAGGAGTAAAAAAAAAAAAAAAAACACAAACTCGTATAAAACTCCCCAAATTGCGCTTAGCAAAAACGGGGCTGGTTTGTAGCTCGAGTCAAACCAGCAGGGCGTTGTTATCGCTTCTAAGTGAAAAAGCGGCGTGTTTTCTCGCTCTGAGGACGCTCAGAGCGCTGCTCTGGGTGCAGCACGCCGGGCCGCGCTCTGCCCGCGGGGAAGCGCTTCGGCCTCGGGGCAGCGCGGCGCCCGCACTGCGCACCGCCAGGAGCGCTGCGAAGCGGCGTGAGGACCGCACGAGGGCAGGCGGGGGGTTCCCTCCCCAGGCCGCGCCGCGGGCCCCGCACTACAGCTCCCAGGCTGCCCCGGGCGCGGCGAGCCCGCCTACCGGGCGGCCGTGGACAAGAGCGGGGGCGCGGGGGAAGTGCCCGCCAGCCGAGCCGAGCGGCCCGCAGCGCCGGGAGCCCTGCCCGGAGAGCCGGCCGGCCGGCGGGGCCCCGCGGCGGGCATGGTGCGCGGCCGGCGGGACGGCGTGGGGGCCGCGGCGAGGCGGGCGATGCGGCGGTGAGGGCGGCGGGGCCGGGCGCTGCCGCGATGCTCCGCCGCAGCTTGAGCCGCCTGGTGAGTGCGGGGCCGGGGCCGGGCGGGGGGAGCTCGGCGTCTCCGCGTGTTTCGGTCGCGCTTCCCGAGGGGCTCCGAGCGCCGCGCTGCTGGGCGGCCCTCGTCATCCTGGAGCCTCCCCTTCGGGCGCTGCGGGGCTCCGAAAGGCGCTGGCTTTGCTGCAGGAGCAGGAACCTTTAATTCCTTATGATTTTTTTTTTTTAATATACACCCCCGCCCCCCCGATAATAACCATTAAAAAGTTGATACAGAGGGATTTCCCCGTCGCAGGACGCACGCACCAGCCCCGTGCAGCCAGCAGCAGGATGGAGGTACCCAGCCACTGCCAGCACGCCCAGCACTGCTCTTCCCGGTGCTTCTTGTCCCCCCGTAACACCTTAAAAACCTCCCCAGTGCCACATAAGCTACTTTGGAGATTTCCCTGTGACCTCATTGCTTGGACTGGACTCTGTAATTACTCACTTTTTCCTGTTCTGCAGCAAGTGTAAAAACAGGGCTTTTGCATCATTTCAGAAGCCTCTGTGTGCTCAGCAGTGTTGCTGATTGCGCAGCAGAGCTGCTGGGGTTCAAATGGCAGCTGTGTGCTATGGGTGCACTGTGTGCCCCTGTTGGCCCCAAGGCAATGTACTCTGCTTTCAGCTGCTGCAAGGGCTGAAAAATGCTGAAAAATGATTTTTGTTGCTGTGTTAACTTCTGTTTTTGAGCAAGCTGTTTATGCCGGGCTTTCAGCATAAGGAACTCTCCTCGTTTTTAGGTTGCGCTAGGAGTGAAGGTGGTTAATTCTACTGTTTTTGCGCTTTTAGGTTGTGTTTCTGTTGGAGCCTTTGGCTTGGCCTTGCAGCAGATGCAGCAACTGTGACTCTGGTTTGATGGCCCCAGGCACGAATGTAACAGATGTAATTTCAGTGCCCCCAGTTACTGAGGCTCAGCCCTGCCTGGTGCTGCATGCTACCACTCCATTGATGGAGGCTTGCAATGCACATCAGGAGGTGGTTCGAGTAGAGAGCGCTGGAGTTCTGTTAAAAACTGATTTTAGTTGGCTGCTGTGTGTAAGCAGGTGCTGGGGAATTGCTGAGACAATTGTGGGGTTCATGGATGTCATAAATGGTTGGCTCCATCATTGACTTCATTTTCCTCGCGCTAAAAGGAATAGGAGCCTTCTGTTATGCCCTTGGGACAGCAGTTGCTGAATGCTTCTCCCAGTTCTGTGTGCTCCCTGCTTGCTATCAGGCCACTACAGGTTGCCCAACTCAGGCTGGGGCAGATAGCAGCTCCTGCTGCTGCTGCACATCATCATGGGGCAGCTCAGAGACATGGGGCTGCCCTCAGCCCTGTGGCTGTATGGGCAGCACAGGGCTTTGAGGTGCTTGTGCTGTGGCACTGCAGGAAGCTCACTGCAGTGGTTGAAGGCTAGAGACTGTCTTGTGCTGAGGTCCCCGCAAGGCTGCTCTGACAAATGGTGCTGCTGCTTCACTGCCTGGCCTCTGCCAGAGGCTCAGAAATGCCAGGCTGTTTTCAGGTGTATTTCACAAGACACGGGCTTGTGCTTCCTGCAGGAAGAAATGGGCTCTGAGCTTCAGTTTACACCAGTGAGATCCCTGCTGCTGAAATGAGCATTGTGCCAGGATCGCTGTGGGGAGGCAGGATTGGATTGCCACAGTTAATCCACTTTAAGGAGATACTGTCAACTTGAAATATAACTTCAATTCTCTTATGGAAGCGGATTTTGGTATTGGGGTTTTATTTTTAGTCTCACTCTGTTTGCATCCCTTTTGTGGAAAGGCTGCAGCAGCATTCAGAATGCGCATGGTGAGAGGTTGGGGTCTGCACTCCATGAGCAGCTGCAGCTCCCTCCATCCTCCAGTGTACCTGGAGGTTGGCAGGGCAGGTCCTCATGTTGTGGATTGGAGATAATGTGCTTTTTTTCCTTAATTACCTTTCTGGGTTCTTCGAAGTGTGCAGCCATACCTTGGGGCCAAGGCTGTGGCTGGCAGGCAGGGATCTGGATTGCAGCTGCCAGTACAGCGGGGTGAGCGCAGGTTCAGGCTTTGTAAGAACCGATGAACTGACAAAGAGAAGTTATTCATGGCCCTGCTGTTTTGGGGGCTTTTTGCTGTTTGCTTTTATTTAAACCTGCATCCCTTGTGTGGTGATGTTAGTAAGCACTGGGTGCTGGTGAGCTGTTTGATCTCATAGCATTGACTTGAAGTTGGGGAACATGACATCTCTTCAGTGGGTTTGCATTGCTTCTGCCTTGGCCAAATCAGTTCTGTGATGCCAGTGTCTTCCCACAGGTCTGCCTTGGTGATGATGTCTCACCTGCTTCCTCCTCACCTTCACTGCTGTCAGTGCCACGTGGATGCCAATAGCCCACAGGTCAGGAAGGCAGGCTGTCCTCTGCATGTCCCTTGTGCAATGCCCTGGGCTCAGCTGCTTGGTGTCTTTCTGGACAGTAACCAGAGCAGACTAGGTTGGCATTGTGCAGCCTTTGTAGCAGGCTGTTACTTGTAATTTGTGTGCTTCGTGCTGCTTAATGTGGAGGTTTTCCATCTGGGGCTCATTTTATTTAATTACAAAACTGTATGTGTACTGCCACAAAGTGGGGTGACAAAGGACAGGCATGCAGGAGCTGGTTCCTGTGCTACCTGTGGCTGCTAGCTAGTGACCCAAGCAGTCTGGCAGTGCCTCACCGCCTGCTCTCTCATGTCCTCCAAAATGAGCTTTGCTTGCTGCTTTTGTTAAGCCCGTGACAGGGGAGGGCTTTTTCCCTTGTGCAAACGATTGCAAATTTACTTTCAGAATCCCTTCCTGGAGCAGCCAGGTGCTGGGTCTTGTCTCTGCAGATGGAAGTTCCCATGCATACAAGCAGTGCCTGGCAAGAAATGTGAGGTTTGCTTTGGGCAAGGTGGTTGTACAATGCCCCTTTGTATTTTGAAGGTCATCTTACATGATTTGCCCCAAAACCCCATGCAGAGGAAAACTGGTGTTGCAAGGCTTGGGTGGGGGCTGCCTGGGTGCATTTCTGCTGCCCTGCCCCACCGACCTAGTGCTTTGATGCTCCCTCCACCTTCCCCAGGGCATAAATCTCTGTGATCAGAGCATTTTGACTCCTTGTGTCACCTAAGCCATAGCTGCCTGGCCCCCCTGTCCTCTGGGGAGGAGCAAAGACAGAAGAAAGGCCTGGGAAAAGGCATGTGTTGACTCAAGAGGTGTGTGCCGGAGGTTGACAGGCTGATCAGATCCTTCCTGAGAAGCCTGGGGCTCCTGAGTGGGGAGAAGGGGCAGGCAGTGGGTGCTGCTCACTGCCCTCCTGGGACTGGTCTAATCTGATACTTCACAGGAAAGCTGTCCTCCACAAAGATGCACTCCAATGGCAGAAAGAAAAATAAAATTCCCCATGCAATGTGGTGGACCACAAGGAAGTGAGAAGGGAAGGGACCACAGCAGCAAGATGCCCGTGCCTAGCTAGGCAGAGTGCAGAAGCAAGAACTGCATGAGAGTGTGTGTGGTGGAGGGTGCTCATTTACACTCATCGCTAGTTTTTGCAGCAAATGTGTAATACTGTCTATTTTAGGATATGGAACACATCTGTTATTTTCTTTCATGCTTGCTTTTAAATTTTTTTTAAACAGTGTGAAGCAAACATTAGTGTGTGATGCAGCTCCTATTCTCATAAGGAGCATCAGTGGGAAGGGGAAGTCTCAAGAAACCACTTTTTCCCCAGTCCAGCCACGCTAGCACCTTGAGAGCAAGGCTGCATGTCAAATACCTTGTGCCTGACTGGCAGCTCGAGCATTTTGCTCTCCTTAAAGTGACAAAAAAGCCACGGGCAGCACAGGCTGGGTCTGGGCATGCAGCGCTGTGGGGTGTCCATGACTCCGGGTGGCTGTTCTGCTCGGCTGAATCTCATGCTTCAAGAGAGCATGGATTTAAATGAAGCGGCTTTAACTTCTCATGAATAAAAGCGTTGTTGCTGGAATTTGTTTTGTACAGTGTCCTTAGCGTGATAACGCTGTTTGCCACACTCAAACCGAATTCTGCTGATAGCAGCTGCAGTGTAGACCACGTGTTACCACAGAGGAGACTCCGAAGTCTGAAATCAGGAAGCTAGAAAGGAACAAGAGTGGTGGGGCAGGTGCAGAGCAGCCTGTTGCACGCAGGACACTGTGGTACTGGGCTGTTGTCTGTTTGTTTTTCCATGGTGCAGACCCCCTGTTTGGTCAAAGAGTGATTCTCCTTTTTCCTGACAGCTGGCCATGATACGTTTTGCTGTTGTATCTGCTGTTCTGTGATGCAAGGTGGGACTTTGTTCCGTAAGGAAGGGTGCTAAGAATGTGCTTGTGAATACCTGGGGAGCAGCCCTGAGTGGCCCTAGGCTTCCCCAAGTGCATGAGCTGTGAGCAGCCTCCTCACCCCAAGAGCACCATAGGTTTTAGTCTGTGCCTGCCAGCTCCTACGTGCTCCTTTGAACAGCTGAGTCTCTTATCAAAGCCCATACCCTGAAAAAAAAACTGTTTCTCAAACTTGTGTAACTGTTTTTCTTTAAAGTTGCAGAACATTCTTCTACCGGGAGCTTTTTTTCCCAGAAATAGCTCAACCGTTTGGCTAAAAATAATTAAAATCAAACAAAAACCCAGCCTCAGACAAGTGAAATGTTCATGTGTGCAGCTCAAGTTTGGAGAGGTTTGAAACTGCTGCAAAGAGGAGCTGGAAAGCACCGGTCAGAGTTAAGGCGATGCTGCCAATTAAACCCTCTGTGTTTAGAAACTTCCTCTGAGAATTAGATATGTGCAGGGGTTGCATTTTATTCTTCACTTGAAACCCTTTCTGACTCCAGTTGTATTTTGCTGAGAATAATGATGATCTGCTGCATTGTATGGGCAAGGTTTAGAGTCTGGCTTGTTGCTGAATTGCAACTGCAAGCGTGGCAATTTGCTTTTAACAGTGGAAACTATAAAAGCAAACAGGCCCTCTATTAATAGCAGGGTTTTTGGACTTGTCTTTAATGTAATCCTGTTGCCCTTGGTTTATGCGCTTTCTTTTTGGTTAAAGCTGCTGCTCTCTGTCTGTAACTGTTTGCATCCTCTCTGCTGGGGAGGTTTTTGAAATTGCTGTCTTGAGGAAAAGCAAAGCTTGCTGAGAAGATAATCAGAGTCTCAACCAGAAGAAACCTTCACTGTGAAACAAGTGTCTGCTCAGACAGTGATGATGTTTTTCAGCCACAGGTGCTGAATTGCTGTGAGCATTTTTCTGCCAAGGGTCTCACTTGCTGAGGCTCATGGCTGAGAGCAGCCTGCCTTTGGCAGTTTGTTCCTTGGTGCTGATGAACTGCATGCAGTTGGACACTTTATCCTTTTACAGAGAGGAGGAAGTGCTTGGGGCGTGTTGTCTAGGAAGGGTGGATTTGTGTCTTCCAAGAAACTTGGAATTGGGGTGATGGAGTGTGTTCTTAAGCAACTTGTTTTTCCCAGGAAATGTCATTTCAGGGGATTTTCCAAGGGAGTTTCTGTATTTTAATTGTGTTTAGGGAGCGGGTGCCAGTGCTGGGAGCTCTGCCTGTGCCCATCTCCATGCTTGGCTGTACCTTTCATGGCCTTCTGCTGGAAAGTGCCCACCAGAGTCCCCCACTGAGCCCTGCTCCAGGGCAGTCAGTAGTTGCCTGTGTGCTGGCACAGCTCGAGCTTGCAAAATACCTTATGTGAGACCTTTCACTGAAAGCTGCTTCTCCTGGTACTTCATGTCAGAAGTATTTCCATGATAGCTGAGGTCCACTGCTGGGAAGCACAGGCTGGTTTTTGCCTGGCAGGTTTTACCAGTGCTGTGGCATCTGAGAGAACACAAGTTTTGGACTTCACCTGCGTGTTCTCTGCCCAGCCAGTGGACTTGGATCTGGACATCTGGGCTTTGATCTCTGCAAATAATTAAATGTCACCACAGGGAAACTGGGAGAACTGCAACCTCTGCTCCTCTTATCTCTGATGAGCATGCTATCTTCTTTGTGCCCCTGTGTTAATAGCCAAGAGATTGCAGGGCTGTGGGCACCCCAACCTTGAGGTTCTGTGCCCAATGGGGCTGAGTGTTATTGCTGGGGCCTTTCACACCATTGCACTTGTGTCAGTAGTGAGCGCTGTGTGAGCTGTGCGCTGGTGGGACTGGCTGCTCAGCTGCATCTTAACCATGAGGACACCGTGCCCATCAGGAGGTGTGTCCTGCTGATGGCAAGGTGGGCAGTAAGTTCACAGCTGGTAATCGTAAGCCACTTCTGGTAGTAATGATATCATAGAACTACTTAGGTTGGAAAAGACCCGTGAGATCACCAGGTCTAACCATCACCTAGCGCTGCAGTCTGCAGCCAAATCACATCCCTGAGTACCACTCTCATCCACCTCCATGAAGAAATTCTTCCTGATAGCCAGTCTGTACCTCCCCACGCAACTTGAGGCTATTTCCTTGTATCCTATCAGTTGTCACCTCAGGAAATGATTGGCAACATCTTAACACGTCCTTACAGAGGGACCAAGACCTCCCCTAAGGCTGAGCAGCCCCAGTTCTCTCAACTGTACCTCATAACTCTTGTTTTCCACTCTCATCACCAGCTTTGTTGCTCTTCTCTGAATCCTTCAGCAACAAAAGAATCCTTTTTATAGCGAGAGGCCCAAACTAAGCACAGTGCTTGAGGTTGGGCCTCACTGGGAAGCGCTGTCTGTGACCGGCTGCTCTAATGCCATTCACAGCAATACTCCATGATATCCTCTCTGTTGCAGTTCTGCTTTCCTGTGGTTCTTTGCACGCTATCTGCAGGATGGCATTACTAATACAGTGCAGCCCAGCTGCTCTCCTCAACCACTGCACTGCAGTTTGCTGAATTATTTTGGCTTTTCTGGCACCTGACCACCAGGTTATTCACTGACTGTAATCAATGAATACTGGATCTAGTTAGCTAGTACTTTGCTTTTTGCAGTACGTGTGGCTCCAGGATGTGTGTGAATCTGTTACATGGATTGCAGTCACCCATTTGTGTTACAAAGTGATGCTTTCCCTGCAGTGCTGGTCTGCCTGGCCCTGGTGCACTGCCTGAGTTTCTCTGTGCTGCATGAGGCTGATGCCTGCTGCAGTTACAGAAAGGTGCTTTGCTTTCGTTTTGTTGCTTTTTAGTTTGCACAGGACAGTTTATCTTGACCTACAGCACCTTTCCTCCTGTTGAGTGGTGGGAGCACATGGTGAAAGTGGTCCTCAGCCTGTCCATGTGGTGAAAGCCCTGGATGCTGCCTTTTCCCCTTTGCTTCCAGTAGGATGCAGGTATTTGGGAACAGCTTTTGTAACAATAGGAGGGGCATAAAAGACATCACTTACAGCATTGCCCCTGTTTTCATCCT